CTTTGTAGGATGCATTTTGTTGAGTTATCAGTATGAGTTTTTTCTTAAATGAAAACACAAATAGGTTCTCGCATCTCGTGCTCTTCAGATTGCAGTTCCATTTTTGGTTTCTGAGAGACGAGCCTGTGCTTTGCGCTCAAGTCTGTACGTCAATGAACACTGGCTTGGCGGAAGACGCTGACACACCTTTGTGCATTTGCCTAGTTCGTAGATGAGTCTTAACATGTTCAGTGAACAAAGGCAGTCAAAAACTCCAACTTTTGTATCCAGTGTGAATTTGTTATTAATTGTCCTTGTCAAGCGTAAGGGTTTTATGTTTATTCGAATCGTCTTTCCTCGTTCTGGTGCACAACTAGTTTAGTCACCTCCTAAACACAAATGTGTGCCAGACAGACTGTGTTTTACATATCCTACAGGCAGTAACTGTGCTATATTATATTAGTGCAGCAGAATCCTTGTAACCAGAGTTAAATCTAGTTCAGCTCTGAACCAACCTGATTAACATCTCTTGTGCAAACCATCTGGACTAACATCTGTGGACAGAGATCTCCACCAGCCACAGTAGAATGTTACTTTGACATCATTAACGGTGAATACTCAACCCTGCTCACTACAGCCTCCGTTTAATTATGTGGTGTTGTAGATATTTTTCTAATAAACTATAGTTTGATAGCCTGTTTGAGTTGTAAAATGAAAGTCCTAGCATTCTTTAAAAGAATGTAGTCGCCCGTCGCCTTTCATGCCAGAGTTTTAGACTTAAGATAATCTAATTTAGAGAAATGATGGAGTTGTAGCTGTTTTAGTCAAACTTTGAAAAGAATGTTATGTGCAATCTGCGATATTGCTAAACTTCATGCTCGGAGTACGTGTTGTATCAATGTCTATGAAAGTGTCTGCTATAAACATTTTTGTGTTTTTTAAGTTCAAGTTGGCTGGGGAGTCCACAATGATGGGTTGACTCCAAAAAAACTATTGTAGTTGTAGATGTTCATTCATTTTCTGCAGGTTTGAGTAAAGTTTGTCCAGAGGTTCACAAGATATTTTGGTAGCAAAACAATTCAATTCAGTTTAGTGCCAAGTCACAACAGCGTTGTCTCACGGCACTGAACAGAAACATTCACATACAAATTCACATTTCAAAAGCCAGTCAGTAAAAGTTTATCTAAGGAAGCCAGCAGACTGCGTTTTGTCTTCACTTCGTCACAGTCGCCCATCCTGAGCAAGCACAGTGGCAACAGTGGAGTGGAAAAACTCCCTTTTAACAGGAAGAAACCTCCAGCAGAACCAGGCTCGGGACGAGTGGCCATCTGCTTCGACCGGCTGGAGTTTGAGAGGAACAGCAAGGAGAAACAAACACAAAATGGCAGGTCCAGATGTAGGTGCAGGTGAACCCCCTATTGGAAGAAAGACAAAAAACACACATTAAGATAGAAGGAATTACAAATACAAACATATATAGAGTAAGAAAAGAGCAGCAAAGTAAGGAAATGTGGTCAATTTGTCCTCCAGCAGTCTAAGCCTATAGCCGCATAACTAAAGGATAGCTCAGGAAACCCAAGCCAACCCTAACTCCAGTTAAGACTCTGGCAGCAGCATTTTGGATCAACTGAAGACTTTTTAAAGAAGTATTTGGACACCCAGATAATATAATAGTCCAGTCTAGACCTGACAGATGCATGAACCACAAGCACGCACAAACATACAGTAATTGCCCACCTTCCTCTTTCAGCAGGGGGCAATAAGAATAACATTTCTTTTGTGCTGTGCGTTGTCTTTGCTATAAAAAGTGCTTTTATGTATTTTAGTTAAACAATGTTTATTTCCACGTTGCTTGTGAGAAAGTTTTAAACAAGGGGTGTTAACTTCACATGTTTTTAACACAGGAAGGCCTGCTAGAACAAGTTCCCCTCCCTCTTCAAGTTGTGCAGAAACTGAGCTTATAGAATATTAAGTTCTATTAAATAAGCTGACAACCTTTCTATTTTTGTACAAGGTTTATGTTGATTTTGATAAATCCTGTAGTTGGTTGGCTTGCTTTTTTTAATCTATCTCTTCTTATGCTGCTTTAGGCTTACACTGCTGCTGGACAAACTGACCACATTTCCTCATTGTGCTACTGTCTTGTATATTCTTTCTATCGTTGAGTTTTTCTTTGTCTTTCTTCCCATAGACACTGCGCTTGGACCAGCCCTGCTGTGTTTGTCTGCGTCTCTTTCCTGTCCTTTTCAATTTTAGCTGGTCGAGGCAGATGGCTGCCCAACCTCAGCTTGGTTCTGGTTCTGCCGGTGGTCCCTTCTTGTTAAAAGCCAATGTGCTGCTCAGGATGGGAAAGTTTCATGAAGTGAATATTTAACTCAGTCTGCTGGCTTCCTAAGATCAATATCTTACTAATTGATATTTTATAATGTCTGTGAATGTTTTTGTACAGTGCTCTGAGATGACCTTTGCTGAAAAGATAAATGTATGAGTCCACCTGTATGCGCACTGACTCGGCTGTTGGATTTAATTGTCCTTGGTCAGTATGTTTTCTCGTACTGCATGCTTGGTGTTTAAGGTTTAAGGTTCTTTATTTGTCATTCGCATCTCCTGTGGTACATGTGGTGGAACAAGATTGTGTACACAGGGTCCCAGTTGCATACAACAAAAGTATAAATTGTAAAGAAAAAAGTAGTAAGATCTCAGATATGAACTAAGCAATACGCTAAACTAAGAGTACACTAAAGACTAGTAGTACAAAAACAATACGCCGAACAACAGCGGCACGAACATGAGTCTGTGTGAGCAGATGAGGACGAATGAACACAGCAGCATCAAATAATTAGCAGCATGAGATCAGCAGCATGGATAGTCAGCAGCACATATCAACAATCAATTGGTATTAGTGATTATTTTTTTGTTTGTACTTTACTGTAAAGACAAACGATTGTGTTCACTTTTATGGGGGGGGGGGGGTCTGCAGCAGCGTAAACAGAGCGCTGCTTTGTATCCATGATGAAACTCTGGAATGTAACCGGGCCTCTGTGTCCAAAAAGAGTCACTGCTGTGAAACCCAGTCACCTGGCATGTTAGCCATGATAATTATGCTCACGGTAAGGTGGTCCAAGTGAATCTGGCTCAGCCTCTGCTGTGTCTCCGGTCTGTCTGGGAAATGCAGTGGTCCAGGTTACCACAGCACAGATTGTACTCGGGGATACCCAGCAGCCATTTTCAAGTTTGGTAAAGGTTAGAAAGTTGTTAAGCAAAATAAACGTAATTAAGACTATGATGTTTAGTAAGGGGTAAATACAAACTGAGCCCATGTCATGACGTATTAATATAGTGTGAGTCAGGAAGAAGCTAAACGGAGCCTGCTCTAACAGTGTAAAGGACGGGCTGATTATAGCCTTTTTACACCACTGCCGTACCACTCCCTTATTGGGCATGCCTGTGTTGATAAGAGCTCTGCTCTCTGCCGTCTTCATTTCACCGTATTTTGGATCGTTTCACTGTAACGTGCTCAGACGACTGAAGCTGGACACCTTTAGACTGTTTGAGTAGTCCATCATTTCTGTAAGTAGTATCTCTTACTTGAACTTACAGTCAGTGAGGTTGGAGCTGGCGTAGCAGTGGAGGGATAGCCCCAACACCCTGCCATTTATTTTAACCCCTCTCTCCCATCTCTGTGGTGACCCTCCCCTCTGCTCCCACCCTTTCTTCTCGTGCTGATGGTAGAGTTAAGAAAGGCAGTTCCTGTCTGTCATAATGTGTGTTTAGGTTGTCCTCTTCTTCATACGCTGCTTCTTGCTCTGCATTGCTGCCTTTTAGCCTCCTGGGTGGACAGATTTGTCTTTTTCTAAGGTGCGTTTCTTTTTCATGTTCATTTTAATCTACCCGTACATGTGTGCCACTACTGATCCAAGGGGTTTTATTTTAGGACGGTGCTTCAGTGTGGTATTTGCTGCTGATCACAATTTGGCAGTATTATCGTGTCCCAGAGCATTTTACATGATTTGAATAGTTTCTATTTATGCCTCTCAGCAAGAATAATGTTTAATGAAAGCAGCATTATTTACTTCCTGTTAACTTTTAGTTTACTACGCTTCAATTTCATTGATTTATATTGTATGATAGCAATGTTAGTGTTTTTAGTTATCTGTGCTTTATCAGTGACAATGGATTTTGGCAGCTTTATTTGTATTAAAGATGTCTTTTATTGATCAAGTTTGGTATTTAGTGTAATTTTTAGGTGTTTAAAATGCTTTTAGAGAAGCTAATCCCTGTTCTGCTTTGTCAGTGTGCTAAAATAGTTTTTCTGGAACATAGTGCACTTTATCAAACACCTTATGATGTTATGACCTTCTACCTGCTTGTTAAAACTTGTAAATTAGTAGTTGCTATTTTGGCTTGTGGCCTATGTCCTTTTCAAAATATCAGACCTGTCTCAGAAACGGTCAGCATGTAGGTGGAAATTATTATGGTTGCACCTTGACTTATTGAACTTGTTTTATTTAAACATATTAGAACCGCTGCCAGGGAAATGTCAATAAGTTACCAAGGGAGCGGCTGTGACGGCCTGCATGATTCAACCTGTAAAGCTGCAAATCCTTTTTATGTCGGCACACATGAGATTTTGACAGATTGCAAAAGAAGCAGCCTGCAGAAACCCGATGAGCTGAACGTTATTCACAAGGACTACAGAGTGCTCATGATCATTTTTGGGTACTTGGACAATGTGGATTAAGATAATTGTTTTTATCGTGCTTCTGCTGAGGTTGAGGTATATTAATGCTTTTATTGCTGCTTGGTTTCCTGTCTGCCTATAAGAAACACAAAGCTATAAAGCTGGTTTCTCAGACTGTGGTCAGTGGGTTGAAATCTATTTGGTTTGGGCCTAATGTGGTTTGCGTTATTTGAAACTGTAAGTGTTGACATAAATATAAGCCGTACTTGTTATATATTAGTTATGTATGTTACATTTTCTGAATCAACATATCACAATCTGCTGTTTTTTTATTTTTTAGATGCTCTATTGGCGGACCTTGAGTCCACAACATCCCGCATTTCCAAGCGCCCTCTTTTCCTTTCTGGTGAGACCGCTTATTCCTATCCAGTTGTGGGTCCGAACCAACAAGACATCTGCTCTCCACCTCAAGACCCACCTGAGAATCCTCTAAATGGAGTAGATGAAACGGAGGTGACTGCATGCGTACCAGATGTGTCGTTGTGTTTGCCCCTGGAAGATTGAATGCAGCTTGTTCAGTGCAAGGCCTCATTTCCTCATGAACAAAACTGTCCATTAGGTGAATTATTTGTTGTGACTTTCGTTTTGCTCTTCAGTCCATCAGCTCGGCTCAGAAAAGCCCCTGGTCTGTAGATCGCAGCAGTCCAGTCCACTGTGCTGGTGAAGAGGACCACGTATACAGGTTAGGAAGACCTGTTGGGTTTCACCTAGCTGCATTTTAAAAGAATCTAATCAGAGTTTCACATTATAAATATAATTTTTTAACAAGGCTTCGTGATAGAAGCTTACAGTAATGTGGATTTAAGACGATGGTAAGTTGTGAATAATGTTGCTTTTCTCTCAACACGGTACAGTTTCCCTAATAAGCAGAAGAATAGTGAGTCGTCACCTGCTGCTGCCATGAACTCATCGTTGGGCAGCAACCTGTCTGAGCTGGACCGCCTGCTGTTGGAGCTAAACGCTGTCCAGCAGAGCACTCCTGCCTTCCCCACCGAAGGTACTTTACAATTCTCATGGCGTCTCATATTTCTTTCAAGCGACGATGATGTCACTACATAAATACAGCACTTGTGTTTTTGTGGTATTAGATGGTAATCTCTTTCCCGTCACTGTGCTTTGTCTGTATTTTGTCGAGTTTGCTATCCATTGTGTAAGCCTAAAAAAACATAAATTTATCTTTATTTTTTATTATTTTATTTTGAAGAAGTAGCACCACCACTGCCTGCAAGTGGCACAATCCATCATATCCAAGAAAATGGAGTCTCCACTTCAAGTAAAGCCGCTCCACCCACAATAGAGAAGCCCAAGCGCACCACCGCAGCTCGCAGGATAGAGGATATACGGCCGAGTGTGGCGAGCCTTCTAGATGAGCTGGAAAGCTCCGTACCCTCACCCATGTAAGAGAGAATAATTACTTTAACGAAGCATAGAAATTATACATACATTATCAGGAAATTAATTCTCACATATTGTTTTTATTTTAAAAGTGAAATCTTTTGTGCGCATCTTTTTTTTTAGTCCCGTAACTTTGGTGGTGTCAGATGAGCACGGCGCTGCACAGGAGGCAACACTGCCACAGCAACAAGCCAGGATGTCTGCCTCCTCTGCCACACGAGAGCTGGATGAGCTCATGGCCTCGCTGTCTGACTTCAAAGTCCAAAGCAATGTGAGTGTGATCTGAAAGTGGGGGGGACTCTGGCTGTTTCAGATTTTTGCAGTTCATGGCAGGTAGTTATTTTGTCCTTGTGTGGCTGTTGCTGCAGTAGGGGCTGCTGTAACTCCTAAGTTATAAAAATAAATTTTCCATGAATGGTTCTGTAACGTTCTACCACTTATTCATATATGAAAAGACTCACAGATTCTGATATTATTGTTACGACTCTGAGACATCAAATAAGGCAGTGGCAGAGCCAAAGCGGCCCATTTGCAGTACGTAAGGGTAAGCCTGCACCGCAGCTCGAGGCTCTGGTGTCGTGATGATGGTCTGTGCGGACAATGAACTGCAGGATCTAGAATTGTAAACGTCCGACACGTTTTAGGTGTAGCGCTCCATGTCGAAGGCCCCAAGTTATACTCCATGCCACCCATGGTTTTGAAATGCTAACTTAATTTGTGAAAACTTCCATCATAAAATATTGTGGCCAGCTTGATTGATGTATTAATGAGCAACTAGGGGCAGCTTACTCATTAATAACTGTCAAAATATGCTGCTTACTTTGTGAATGTTGTAATACTCACTTTCTCTTTGTTTGTTTGAATTGTTACGTTTCGAACACAATTTCTACATCATAAAAGAATGTTTGAGAGTAAATATAGCTCAGAGGGTTTTTGTAAATGTGTTAGAAAACAATAACTATTCCTCACATTTGTTTCAGATGAAATTTGACAATCAGTTGCTGAAATTCTTCTGTTAAGTTCAGAATTTCTCTGCACGGCTCATTTTCACATGATCTTAGCCCCAACTTTTGCTCCAACGCTCTCCACTGCTTGATTTCCTCCCCCAAAAGTACCTTACTTGTCGACTCGCATCCTCACAGCTTTTAGCTGCTGTTTCTTTTCAGAAGAAGAGAACTTTTCTTTTGCACTTTCGACCTGGCGTCTCTGCTCCTAATGTTCTAAACTCCGACTTAGTTTACATTTGGGGATTATTTTACCGACTCAATACCCACAGTGCGTTGAAACTGTCCGAAGTATACTTGTTAATGTTCGAATGTAAACAAATGACTCATAATTGTTGGCAACAAAACCTGACTCTGCTGATCTTGCTCATTTGTTACAAATTGTGCCGTAGACTTCTGGTAGTGAATGATGCATAGTTTGTGGTTATTATTATTGTAGATGATATATTTATACAAAATTTTCAAATCGAAAAGATAAAGAAAATTTGACAGCTGTTATGGCTTTAAAGATGACTTCTCTCTGCAGCTATAGTGTCAAACTGTTTAGTGTAAAAGTCTATTGTAAATATTTAGCAACACTATGTTCCATAGTCATAAATATTGTATCTAGAACTTGATTTGTCCTCTTGCAGTTTGTTTTAATCGTCAGATTTTGTTTAGTCTAAAAAGAGTTCAACTAAGCAGTATTTGAGATTTCAGGTATGTGGTTACTGGATGTCTTGTGTCCCATTTGCACTGCTCCTAATCAGCCCCAACTCTGCTCAGCCCTGCTCAGCCTGGCTCAGCTCAGCCTGGCTCAGCTCAGCCTGGCTCAGCTCAGCCTGGCTCAGCTCAGCCTGGCTCAGCTCAGCTGGGATTTGCACCTGCACTTCAGGACTGATTCTGGAGGCGTGTCCAGAATCCAAGTCCTGCTAATGAGAGTTCTGCGATGAGTTACTCAAAGCAGTCTGCTCCTCAGATAAATAATATTAAATTATTATTTTTTTATATGAATATTTCTGTTCAGTGCCCTGAGACAATTTCTGTTGTGACGTGGCGCTGTATAAATAAACTGAACTGAATTAAATCTGATGAACCAGATACTACAAAAACATCTATATTTAAATCTAAAAAAGTTACGTCTGGTCCTCTGGACATTCAAAATAACAAAACAAACAAACAAAAAAAAATGTAGAAACGTTTCTTCTTTCATCCAAAAGACTTCTTCAGTCTGAGGTGCTGTATTCAGCTCATAAATAGCTATTTATAAAAGACTGAGCTGAATACAGCTCCTCAGACTGAAGAAGTCTTTCGGATGAAAGAAGAAACGTTTCTACATTTTTTTTTTTTTGTTTGTTTGTTTTGAACGTCCAGAAGACTAGACTTAACTTTTTTAGTTTTTTCTACCTGGATTATTGAGCATGCATCAGGATATCTATATTTAAAATTCTATATTTTTCTTCATCATTTGATGCATTTGCACTCATTGTGGTTTTGTTTCTTGTATACAGATTATTTTTTCTTGTATACAGATTATTTTTAGCATTGAATTAAAGTTTACTTTTGATTTAAAGCTTTAATTTAAAGTGTAATGCTTGTTTTGTGATTTGTACATCTGTGGGTTAAAATAATGTTGAACCAAAGGCTGTGTCTCTTCTTTAAACATGTTTGAGGAAAATATTCCTTAGAGATCCAATAATTTTATGATTTTTCATTTGAATTAACTTTAATTAACAGATTATTTATTTTTAATCTTCACTGATAAAAAGAACTTATTTTTTATACATAAAATGTTTTTAAAAAACGTTTCCACCCTTTGTCCCGGTCCTCCCGCCTGCCAGGGCTCGAATCCGGCCTTTGTGAGCAGGCGAGGCCGGGGCTCGGGGTCCGGCCTCGCGGGCTTCAACAGGTCGGCAGCTCGTATGATTCTCTGCGGTGACTCTGCTCGCTTGAATTTGTCCTCTGTCACCAAACACAAAAAGCGCCTGGACTTCAGAATTAAACACGGCATTGTCATTATTGTTTTAAAAATCTTAAAAATAGATCCAGCCGCTGCTCCGCATCCAGAGAAATTGCAAATGGCGGATCGGTGAAAAGTTTCTGAGATCCAGTGACTCCTCCCTCTGATCAGTCAGAGTCCTGCATTCACGTTTCGGTCTGGACTCAGCTCGACTGAGCTCGTTCGGTCCCACCAGAGAAGCAGGGACGAAAAGAGGTCCTGAATCAGCCTCAAATCAGCTAAAAGTACCAGCTAAAGTATTAGTGCAAAGGGGTTCTGTCTGTGGCGGGCTGTCCAGAGTTGGGGCTTATTAGGGGCAGTGCAAATGGGGCGTTAGAGCCTCTGTTAAGACTAAATGAGTTAAACGAAGCTAAAAATTAATGTTATCCATTTTGATTTCTATTTTGATCTATTGTTATATTTGCTTTGTATGTGAGATTCTTCACTGTCCATTCCTTTCATTTCCAATTCATTCTCTGTTTTCTTGGTGTTGTTTTCTTTCCTCTATCACTGTGTATGTCTTGTTTGTGGATGTGCATTGCCTTCATTACAACATTGCACCTGACTCAGTCTGGCTCTCAACTGTCCGTGAATCAGGACTCTGGGGAGTCTTCATTAGTAGCCGTTCTTCAAGCTGGAACTCCCCACGATGGCTCAGAGGACACTCCTTTCCCTTCAAGTTACACTTCCCTTTCTTGTGCACCTCTTTCATTAGAGCTCCACATAGATGAGGATGGTTGTTCAGTCCCTGCATCTTCATGTGGTTCAACTGTGACAACTGCGTCATCTAGGAGCTTCCAGTACTCCCATGTTCAACAGAAAAATGATGGTGGCACTATAACATCTGAGGCGGCATGTTTGGAGAGCTTCAATGTCTCCAGTACTTCAAAACCTCACAGTCAAACTGAAGTCAGCAGCCCTAAACACACATTAGTAACTAAAGTGTCTACTGATAAAGGTATTACTGCCAGGAGCTCCAGTCCAGTTGTTGCCAAGAGTCCACTTACTGTGTCCAAAATTTCCAGTCCCATTCTTAGAGATAAAAATCGTCCCACTGATGTCAAATCTAAAAGCCCAGTTCCTAAAAGTTTTAGTCCTGTTCCTATAGGTCATAGTCCACTGGCAGTTACAAAGAGTTATAGTCCTGTGACCGTATCCAGTGCTGCAGAAGCAGTGCTAGTAATGGATACTTCAGTATCAGTACCCAGGCTTTCAAGTCCAGTTCCAAAAAGTGTGAGTCCTGTGCCATTTCCTACTATCTCTAGTCCTTTAACTATCCCAAAGCATGCTAGCCCTGACCTGGTTAGCAAGAGTGCTAGTCCAGTGACAATTCCAAGACTTTCCAGTCCAGTTCCAAGGACAACTAGTCCCTTAACTGTTCCTAATATCTCCAGTTCAACCTTCCCCAAAACTTCAAGTCCTGAAATAATGCCAAGAAATTATTCCCCTGTAACACTTCCATGGCTTTTAAGTGAAGTAACAGTTACAAAGAGTGAGACTTTGGTTCCCAAGAGTTCTCCTCAAGTCATCAGAAAAACATTTGCTGCTACAGACTCCACTAGTCCCAGAGCTTCTCCAGTTTTATCTGCTACTGTACCTTCAAACAACCTAAATACCTCAGAAACTAAAGAAGGAAATCTCCTGGATTTAACATGGCCATGCCGGGAGCCAATACTGGATACTGCTTTAGACAAAATATTATATCCTGACTCCAGTCGATTGATTGAGAACCAGCCACCTGCTTCTGTTATACTTACTGATGAGGACAAAACCTGGGAGGAGGAAGATGGATTTTACCCAGAGTTCAGCAGAGAGGGCACCCTGACACCTATGACTGAGTCTAGCTGGTTGGACGAGTGTTTCACCCCATCCAGCTGCCCCGGGACGCCAGATGCAGTGCTGGACCTGCCCATACAGCAGCCTTCTGCTGTCGAGCGACTGTCTGCTTCTGGTCAAGTAGGCATCTTAACTTCCCAAAATAAGCTGCTTTCAGAATTTTAGACTCCATTTGGTCTTTTTATATATTAGGCCAAGCAGCCAAAGACAAAAGTGACTTCTGACTATTATATCAGAATGGCTTTGTCAAATGAATACCCAAGAATTTTCTATTCTCGACTCTGATGTAAGCTTATTTTGGGTGAGCAGTTTTCATATGTGTTGAAAGAGTTGTGAAATGGTACAAACATGTTGAGATGAGGAGAGATTCCTCAATCTTTGTGGTGTGATGCATGTGGTGTCAAATAGCAATCGCAGAATGGCTTGAGGGAGACGTTTCCCTGTAGAGAACATTTTTGTGGGTGATGTTGAAAGCATTGCTGACAGGTTGTCAACGCACGCCTGCACTTGCTTCTTTCATTGTTGCTGTGTTGGTCATGCTGTTTTTCATCACTGACTGTGCCACATACAGTGACATGTTTCTCTTTGCTTGCAATCTGTAGCAGTGTACAATGAGCACATAAATTCAAGAAACTTTCCAGAAATGTTATGTTGTGTTGGGCCTTGTTTTGGCATGTGTTGGCATTTGAGAGAGCAGTTTGGGTTGATTTAACTTTGGTTGTCTAGCATGACTTGCATCAGCTTTGATGGCAAAAAAAAAACCAACAACAAAAAAACCCTTAAACAGAAAGCTGTGATTTGTTTCAGCCAATAAAATGAATTTAATATGAATGCAAAGCCTTTTGGCAGTCATAATACAAATCTAGTGCTTGACCGTTTTACCCTTTTTAATGATTTATCCAGAATTGGACCCGTCCTGATAGTAACACAAAATAGGATTTTCAGCTAATTTTCCTGATCCTAACACAAAGTAGGATTTCCTACTAGATGGCATGATCCCAGTTTCCCACACGTCCTTATCATCTGCTCTCCAGCTCAAGTCGGTTATCCGCCGCACCAAAGAGACGTCCAACGTCCACCCAATGTACAGGGATGGACTGAGGCGAAAAATGGGACCAATCATTGTGAATAAAAGCAACTCGCAAGATCGGCTAATTGAGGAGCTGCAGGGGAAACTGGGGATTGGGCGAGTGGAGCGCAGGCGGAAACAGCAGCCAGACGACTGGCTGACTGAGGGAGTCATTGTCATGTCGAACCCACAGAGAACTCGGGAGGAAGGGATTCAGCCATCTGTGGACAAGGTAGACAGGCACTTGAGGATTATATTGGGATTATTTTTTGTAAAGTTGGACATTACATGTTTTGTTGATGTCTCTTAATATTACATCACATTGCCCTGAATTTACTTTCAAATGTCTGTTTTAGGCGATTTGGGTTCTTGTGTCAATTTTTGCCACCTTTTCAGATTTTCTGTTCTAATTGGGTTCTTGTTGCTTGTCTTTTCTGTTCTTTCTTTTTGCCATTTTCTCCTTCTCTCTGTCAGATCATCATTCCTCCTGAATCACCGGCCCCGCAAAGAAAAGTCCTCCCCTCTCCTCAGTCCCCCGTAGCACCAAAAAAGACATCCCCGATCAAGCAAACACCCCCGCCACTACCCCCTCCACCTCCACCTCCGACCCCTCCTCTTCCTCGAGAACCCACTCCTCTACCCCCCAAGGAGCCTACTCCTCCCCCGCTTAGGGACCTCACACCTCCCCCTGATCAACCCCCTCCATCGCCTAGCCCCCCACCTAAACCCATCACGCCACCCCCACCTCCAAAGGTCCTTGTATCAGTGGGTTGTCAGACGGATTACGACCCCGTCTTCCCACCAATGCAGGCATGAATCACCTTTCTTCTGTTCATCCTATTTTCACACTTTGTGCTCTTTTGTTTTACACTTTCTGAAATCCATTTTTCTACATGTTTGTTGATTAGTTGACGGGGGGGGGGGGGGGGGGGTGTCTTGATTTTAGGCCTCGGTATTGAAACAGGCAACCTCCTCCTCAAAGCTTTTTCTGGAATCCAGTAAGCTCAGGTTAAGAGGGGTGCTGACGCAGGCTGAGCCCCTTTTCTAAATCGGACATCTGATGGCGCCAAGAGCTGTGCGTTTGGAGCGGAGGTTAGAATTTAAGAGCCCGGGAAAGAAGTGTGGAGCTCCCCAAAGTTCCCATTGCACTAATGTGTGTCCTGCCACACTCAGGAATGGTAGGCTCGCAGTGCAACTGAAACCTAATCTGCCACATGACAGCGCAGTTACTACCACATTTAGAGCATGTCTCACAGGACTTAACGCAACAGGTCCCATGAGTTTAGCTTACAGGTAATGAAAGGTCTTCTCTCTTAGTCTCTTGTACCTTTTAACTGAAATCATTTTGTAAGTGTTTGTGGAAATGGATAAACACATGCACGATTAAATGCACAGCTAGAGTATGTCAAGATGTGGTTTAATTTTATCAGAGGTGAGAAGGTCGCTTGTTTAAAAAAAGAATACGTGAAGCAGAGGTGCTATTTTCTCAGAGGAATGTAAGAGTCATGAAGATTCAATAACCTCACCATTAAAGATGGTCTGCTTCCATTGCAGCATCCAGACACTTGTATACAAGGTTGATATCTTAAAGGTCTGCAAATATGAATTAGGACTGATCAGAACTTTGTTCTCACTTGTTTTCGTTGGTCTTTGCAATTTCCCTTCCAATAAAGAGAAGACTGTAAACTGTCACTGTCGGGTTTGTTTCTGATTTATTGTTTTCGTCAACATCTATTAAAATAATTTTCCATTTCTGATAGGTCCAGTCACAGGGAAAGACGTCTCCCCTCGCTCCTCCAAAACAAGCCAACAAGCTGGACAACATGCTGGGAAGCCTGCAGTCTGACCTCAACAGACTCGGAGTCCAGACCGTGGCCAAGGGAGTCTGTGGTGCCTGCAAGAAACCAATTGTTGGACAGGTAAAAAAAAACCCAACTAAATCTTCCAGATTATAATTTCTGTAACTTTTAATGGAGAAAATAAAGCTGCAAAAATGGCAGTTTATTTAAAGTTGATCTTAAATAGGATCCAATGTTATACCCACAGACTGTCATGTTAAATTCATAGTATTTTCAGCAGAAGTACAAATGGGTGGCACGGTTGGTAGAGCTGCTGCCTCTCAGAGAGCAGGTTACCCCGGTTCAAATCCCGGTCCGGGGGCCTTTCTGGATGGAGTTTGCATGTTCTCTCTGTGCATGCGTGGGTTTTCTCCAGGTACTCCAGTTTCCTCCCACAGACCAAAAACATGCACGTTATAAATTGTCTCTAGGTGTGAGTGACAGAGTGAATGGTTGTTGGTCTTGTTTGTCTCTATGTGTCCCTGTGATGGACTGGAGACCTGTCCAGGGTGTCCCCCGCCTCTCGCACAGTGACTGCTGGACATGGGCGCTGACGACCTCCGCGACCCAAACAGGAAGAAGTGGATAAAGATAATGGGTGGATGGAAATACAGTAGTCCCTCGCTACTTCGCGGTTTGCTTTTCGCAGACTCGCTCTATCACGGTTTTTCAAAATAAGACTGAACATGACACAACTGTCTGATTGATGGATGAGCCGCACAATCTGCATGGAATTTTTATTTAAAATTAATTATTTTAAATTATTTAGCACCTGCTGCACCTCTGTGCGGCCCACACTGCAGGAGAAACTTCCTCCTGCAGCTCCTCCTCTGTCCGTCTCCGTTCTGCAGCAGAGAAGTGGGTGTGGCCGAGAGTGCAGAGTCCAAGGCTGCAAAGCTGATTTCTTGACGTGCTGTGCTCTTTTAAAGCATCTAGAGATTAGAAATATTGTTTAGAATATTGCAAGAGTGTGGGAAGGGTTTAAAACGCCTTAATATTTATCTAAATAATAAAATAAACTACTACTTGCTACTTGTACTACTATTCCTACTTTGCGGTTTTTTCACTTATCGCGGGACTTCAGGGTACGGATCCCCCGTGATAAACGAGGGACTACTGTACAAAGATTTACAGGCCTGTCCTTGAGTTCATGCTGAGATACATTCATTATTGTTTCACGTCACTTTTGTCTGCTAAAATACTTTATTCTTCTGAGCTGTGGGTCACACATCTCCAATTGACATTTTGGTGACAATATCAAACTCTTGTGCCCAGTTTTCATTTAAATGAGCATTACCTTTAGTACTGTGGTGGAAAAAATCTTACACTGAAGGTTTTCTTTATTATTATTTTTTGTTAATTAGAGATGTTAAGAATGATGTGTATGGCTGCACCAATTACTTAATTTCAGAGGCACTCTTTCAATAAATAATCCCACTTGTATCAAGTCAGCTGTTTATTTAGTTGAATAATGTTAAGATTCTGTTTACAAGCTTGGGTCTATTGAAGTGTAGTTTCTCAGGTCTGCAGGATGTTTGTTTCATTGTCTGTTTTAAAGCAGTACCTGGTAGTTTCTCTCCTGGTAGATTTTACATTTTACCTTCACAGTTTCATGAACATCAGAAAAAGAAATACCACTTTGAATTTAAATTTGCATTTGAATATAATCTGCTACTCTGTACAGTAATCCCTGTCGCTCGCTGCCTGCAGTGCTGCAGGGCTTTTTTCTCCAGAGCAAGCTCATCACATTTTAATGCACTGTCTCCCCACACCAGGTGGTGACTGCCATGGGCAGAACGTGGCACCCGGAGCACTTTGTGTGCACCCGCTGTCAGGAAGAGATAGGCTCCAGGAACTTCTTTGAGCGTGACGGGCAGCCTTACTGCGAGAAAGACTACCACAACCTGTTCTCGCCACGGTGCCACTACTGTAATGGACCCATACTGGATGTTAGTAATGCATACATTCCTCAGCACACACATATATGGCCAATAGATAATGATATTTATTTATTCATAAGATACAGGATTAATGCCTTAGCGGAAAAATCACTACACAATGGAAACTGCTTGTCTTTGTAAAGCAGACGCTGTACTCACTGTTCCACAAACATTTGAAGTAAAGTGACTGTTTTTGCCAAGCTGCATACACAAAATTGTGAATAATTTGAAGTTGCTTAAATAGGCAAAGTTTTCAAGTGTAATGCTTCAGATTTATTAGTCTTTCTTAAGTAGACTATTTATTGTAATTCCAAAGTGTATCGTCACAGTTTTAAAGTAAAGCGACCATCACTGATAGACGAGACAAGCTCATATGTTCATGTCACGGTGTGTTGTCACCACTCAGACTTCAAAGCGACTCGCGCCCTTTGGGTTTTTTTTTTCTAGCCACTGCTGTTACACACACAGTGCTAGACTTCAGCCTGCAGGAAGGCCAACATGAGTCACAGCCAAGGCTTCTTAACTAATCCTCATGTGCTGCTCGTCTTCCACACTCAAACTATCACGTCCTTTTTTTCCTGGGATTTTTATGGAAGAATGAGCCATAGAGATGATAATTTTTGATTATATTTGAAATGAACTGACAGTAATTTTATTTCTCAGTGCCCTGCTCCAATCTTCTTAATCTTAAGAATGCAATATGCATACTTTTACAGAGGTTTAGTTTAGTAAGAATTATCTTTAAATAAAGTAGTCCTCTGTAACATAGCACCTCCTGGTGACAAGTAATTGTTGCTGTACTGCAGGAATTTGCACTGGAGGATGTTTTTAACATTAAAGCTGAGAGTGTGCTTTCAGCTGGAGCTGCTAGAAAACAAATGCTATCAGTGTTAGCATTCCAGCACCTCCCACACTGCTCCAGTGTTTGGACCTAGCCTGCCCTCTCCTGGCCTCCACTTATATTTTCTTCTAAGATGGGATATACACAATTCCACAAATAAACTTGTCTGTGTGTTTAATGAGAAAGTGATTTTGTTTATTATTTTAAATGTATAAAAATTACGCTAGAGTAATTATTTGCTTCTCTTGGCTTTAACAGAAAGTAGTGACAGCTTTGGACAAGACTTGGCATCCGGAGCACTTCTTCTGTGCCCAGTGTGGATCCTTTTTTGGACCCGAAGGTACTGGACACATTCCCCAACCATCAAAGCACAGTTGTCTTAAAAGGAACAATTGGTTTCAATCAGCATGTGTCTTTGCTGCCCTCTAGGTTTCCATGAGAAGGATGGAAAGGCGTTCTGCAGAAAGGACTACTTTGACATGTTTGCTCCTAAATGTGGCGGCTGTGCCCGAGCTATCCTGGAGAACTACATCTCTGCCCTCAACTCACTCTGGCACCCTGAATGCTTCGTCTGCAGGGTGAGTCACTGGGCAAATCCTTAACGGATCATTATTAAAATCCTATTTAGATAAAAGCAAATCAAGATTTTGCTTTGATTAACATGTCCACAAGACATTTGTATGGATCTCTATAGCTGTCCTTTACTGTACATCTACATCTGATTAGCTTTTAAAGTCTACCCAAATCAACATGGCCACCACATCTAATCAGCCTTTGCCAACAGTCAATGTTCTGATTTAAAGTTTGTCATGAGTCAACGATAACACATCTTGTGAAATCCTTTAATACCTCATGAGATCATGAAGAGCATCATTCTTCTCATCATAAGTTGTTAGTCTATAGCTCTGGCATGAAAGGCAGCAGGTGATGCACAATCCTTTAAGGAATGCTTGTCCTTTGAGTTTAATTATTTTTGCAAGAATATGAGCAACAATAAGAAATGCAGTTTAACGTTGCAGCTCTGAAACAAAACAGCTGCACAGCAGAGAAGCAGTCCTCACATAAAGCATTTTCAGCTGCATGTTTACCAGTGAAACAGAATTTATTAGTCTAATTTTCCATGAAGGAAACCGACGTTATAAACGTGTTTTCCAGGAGTGCTTCACGCCGTTCATTAACGGCAGCTTCTTTGACCACGACGGACAGCCGTACTGCGAGGCTCATTACCACGAGCGGCGCGGCTCTCTGTGCTCCGGCTGTCAGAAACCAATCACAGGCCGCTGCATCACAGCCATGGGAAAGAAGTTCCACCCAGAGCACTTTGTGTGTGCTTTCTGCCTCAAGCAGCTTAACAAGGGCACCTTCAAAGAGCAGAACGAAAAGCCCTACTGCCACGGCTGCTTCATCAAACTCTTCAGTTAGACTCGGTGTCTGCTGTTTCTGCGTGAGTGAACACACTTCGGTGCATCTTTGAGGTTTTAACGGATGTTTTCATCACATCATGAGAGTAGAAAATGTCTTTTTTAGCTGTTATTAGCTGTGACACTGAAAGGACTTCTCTGAATGTCCATACTTTTACACTTTACTAAAGACATTTTTAAAGAGCCCAAAGAGATTATTTTTAATTTAGACGCTTATTCTTGTGTGCCACAGAATCTAGAAAGCAGGTAGCTACTTGTTCCTTGTATGTGTGTACATAAACAGTTTTAACTTGTAAAGTATTTTTCCCATACTGCAGGGCGAGACCTTGCAACACACGGTGGTGAGACTGTGTGGACAGTTTTATGCAGATCAGATACAAGCTGCTTGATTGCATGGACCACTGAGAGTTACCCTAAGCAGTTTTAAAGTACTATGAGTGTTGAATACTCAGTGTTTGGCCAATGAGTTCTAAAAAAATGTATTTTTCTAGCTAATGAGGTGGCATTTAAGACAAACGTAAACAATCTTAATATGTACACACACAAAGATACACATCCTCCTCTTTATTATCCTAGTCAGACCTTTTGAGGCATTCAGCAAGTTCTTAGATGATACTTTCTTAAAATGTATTTTATGCATCAAGTATCATCATATTACTCGTTCCTTTTTTTAAAGCTTACCATAGAAAGTAAACTATTTTGAGCTTTAATATAGTTAACTTCTATTTGTGTTAAGCTGTTTTTTGTTTTTTAAGTGAAATCAAACATAATTATGACTTTTTTTTAACTTGTAGAAAGTGAGATCCTTATTTTAAATTAAATGTGATGAATCAGATCTTTTCAAGCAGTGTTCTGTGGATAGGTTATGAATAATAAACATCTTACCTGTTGGAGATGACTCTTCGAATGACCATGTTTTAGAGAAATAGTTTATTTCTGTCTGGATTGACGAGCTAACGGTTAGTTTGAGCGGGGTGAAGGCCAAGGTAGATCGCTACTGCCGTTTTAAAACTTCTCAGATCTCAAAACTTTCATAGCCATTTATGTGAAAGTTATTTTATAAACCTTTACAACTGTCATTTTTTACCTTACACTGTATTTGGATTGAATTCTGTGGTGACTTGCAAGTGCAAATAATGGCAGCAGCAGCCTAGCTGTAGCACTTTAAATGCAGCCCTCATAGTTCTGATAAAATAATGGTGTAATGTAAAATTCACAAAGATGTGAAGATTTATAAAACATTTATTATTAAAAAATTTTGATCAGATATGCTTAGTGACAGCAACAGTTTACTGTACTTTGATCCTTACCCTGCTCGGACTAGCCGTTAGCTTGTCGTTTGATCCATAAATAAACTCAATCTCTCCAAACTGTTTGTTCAAAGAGCGGTCTGCAACAGGTAAGATGTTTACTATTCATATCTTTGTAATAATTATTTGCAACTTCCACAAAACCCCACTTCATAAGATTTGAACTTCAACTTTCAAACACAGCAGTGTGCGTGTTTTGTTTCGTTTTAACATTTATAATGGTCCTTTTAAAATTTCATGTACTTAAAACGTCAAATTAAATAAATACATTTATATCAAAAAAATCTAAATAAATCATGTCAAATATATACTATGATTATAAATGTTTTAAATTGTGTTGCAATTTCAGAGGAAATCGAGCTCAAACGACGATTCTTTATGAACATGGGTGTTTTTTCTGCTGTATCTGCTTACATTTATTACAGAGAATAAATTTTAATTCTATTTTTCAACACTTTCGATATTTAATTGTTGCCACTTGTGTTCGTGTCACTGTATTAAATTCATCTGTAAGACTTGTTAAAGATTTATGGCGTAACTGTGCGTTCTGGTCTGAAGTATGCTCACGTCTTTGATTTAGGGTTTTGTCAGCACCAGTCGCCGTTACAATCACAAAATGAGTTTCTATACCTAGAACACGTTCAACTTGGTGACAGAACTGTGTTTTGTCTGTTTTGTTGATGAAAATGTATTTTTGAGCAGATATGCAAAGAGCTGGCTCTGTTAGCATGTAGCCTACTGCAACAATGGTTTACCCAGGTCTCGTTCCTGCAAACAAACACCAGCTTCAGAGGAAACGTTTTGAAACCAGGAGCTGCGAGCCATCGTTTCAATGGCACCTGTGCAAAGGTCACTGGCGGAAGCTGGATGTTTTTACTGGTCAAGGATGAGAACATGACCCCGAACCAGGCCTTACACAACGATGTGTTCATTTGTAATCAGCTGTGCTCTTGGCATGCATCAAATGTGTTGGTTTTCTTTAAACGGGGAACTGCAACATTGCCTTTATTTTTTTTCTGTATGCAAAGAGTGAGTACACAGCAACCACATTCAAGTTGGGTTTTCATTTCTTCTTGTGCCAAACGTGTCAATGCAATAAGGTCTTGCACACTGTGGAAATCTTTCCTGTGATCTGACCCTTTCTGACCTGAACTCTGGGAGAAGCTTCGCCTGCTGCGGTGCGTTGTAGCCGAGCTAAACGCTGAAACAAGTGAGCTGAGGAGGAGCGTGCTGTACGGATGAATTCAGCCCACATCACGTTCAGACGGCTGTAGCAGAGGTGAATGTGGTTGTTGTAAAACAATTTAATTTTGCTCACATGTAGATCTTACAATAAATTGCCTTATCATTTTTGCTTTCATAGGAAAAACGGAAACAAAGGGTTTTGCTTTTATTGCAATTTATGGAGATGCATTCATGTGATTATTTACTGTTTTGAGTTTTCTCATGAGCTGTAAACTTGTGTGGCTCTTTGTGAGGATGAGCCCGTTTGGTAAACTTCTGCTAAATAAAAGATTCAAAGTCTTGACTTTTGGCATTACGTCACTTCTGTGTGCTTACGTTTTATTCCAATTTGAAACGTTCGTCTGTGCTGGACTGCAGCAGATCCTTGGCGCGTGGTTTTTACAAAATAAGTAAATTAAATTTTCAGTTTAGAAAAATCTGTTTTAACGCATTATTCTCAAGTGTAGTACTTTTAGAGACGTTTGTAAATCAAAAAATAAAAATGGTTGTACATCATAAAAGCATGGTTTTTTTTTTTTGGTATGTTGTGATCAATATAAATGCACTTAAACTAAACTTTATCACAAAGTATAGACCAGGACTATTCAACTGGTGGCCCACCAGTGAGTTGATTTTTTTTTTCGGGTGGGGTAGTCATGGTTCTGTTTATTGCATTTATGATTCAATGCAATAAAAACAAATTTAAATTGTAACGGATCATTGCAATACTTGGTTTATTTACATAATGACTAACTGCTGGATGTCCGGCCTCTGAGCTGTTGGGCTTTCAGAACCCGTGGCCCCCTGAGCAGTTTTGTTGAACAGCCCTGCTCTAGACAATCGGATTATGAGTCAGAAATAAATTTTTATTTCAAATCCCTGCAGTAAAAGCGCTGAGTGATTGTGTTTCAGTTGGGGGTCTAGATACAAACAGTCTGCAATACTGTACAGGTGTATTCTCCGTCATCCACCATGGGAGGTGCTGCAGCACCCCTAGTAATTTTTAAATAAAAACATTCAACTCGATCCTGAGAATTTCTCCAGATAAACGTCGTATCAACAACCCAACTGCCTCTGGTGAGGACCACATCTGTAACGCGCTGGTTGTGCAATGCGTTGCTGAACGTGCGAAAACCCGTTAGGATGACCGTTCACTCGTGCGATTCAATACACCTTGCAAACACAACAACAGATGAACGCATCTCTTCGGCGAGATGTTACAACCTGAATTCTGTGCTTCGTCCGAGCTCGAAACTTGTTCGCGAGATCGGAGACGTTCTGACCCCTGTCCAGAATCTCCAGGCACTGCAGGTTCTGAAGACGGTGGAGGCACAAGAAGTCTTTCTCAGGCACGTGATTCTGGCGAAGCCTGAGACTTCTGAGCTTCGGAAACAGTTCTGGGATTCGAGCAGCGTGAGCTCCCAAATGTGAAGGCCAAGGGTCTACGTGGAGGTGGAGGAGATTTGGCAGCTGCGCCGCTACTGCTGCCAAATCTACCGAGGACAAGCCAGGGACGCACAAAGTGAGGCTGGTCACCGTGGCAGGGATGGAGGTGGCGTACAAGTTCACGGGTAAACCTTTGACGACGACCAGGTTAGACAAGTTGGTGAATTTAGACAGCCAACTTTTCAGGTTCTCAAGTTCTAGTGACAGTTCTGGACATTCCTGAAGTGAAGACTTGTAGAAAACGGCAAGAGTCCTCAGGGAAGGGATCATGGTCCACGTGTCTTCAGACAGCGGATGAGTCGAGCAGTTGATGAGTTCAAGGCTGGACAAGGAGGAGGACACTGTTCCAAAACCTGGTCCTGGAACCTGAGGGTAGATGTAGTCTGCAGACAGGGACAGATGCTTCAGTTCAGGGAGGGCAACAAACGTGTCAACCATCCTGACGGGTTTTCTAAAACCGTCTGTGTTGTGACAAACCAAAGATGTAAGACTCCTGAGGTAAGGCAGCAAAAGAAAGAAGTCGCCAGAGGGAGGTTTGATGTTAACGCCACATAAGCTCAGGTGGGTGAGATGCTGCAGTTTAAACCCCATGTTTGTATCTAATAGCACAGGAACGTTTCTCAGCGCCAGACGAGTCAGATGTGGAAAGTCGTTTGTGAAGTTGAGGGTCTGGGTCTGAGAGCAGACCGACTCCATCACCACTGTGGAGAGAGCAGGAAGAGCCTGAGAGAGGTGGCTCCAGTCCTTCGCTTTGGTGCTCCTCATCACCACGCTGGAGACTTTCCTGCGACGAAGAACGTCCCAGAACCGACAGTTGGAGGAGCCTTTCTTGTACGTCAGAACTACAGTCCAGTCTTTCCAAAGAGACCAGTGGTCGATAAGTTTCTTGAAATACTTGGAGCATGCCCGGACGCTGCCTTTGTCTGTCACTGACAAAAATCCAAATATGTGGTTCCAGACTTCAGGCGGAAAGTGGACATAGGATGGGCACAGGGACATCTTCTGGTGTTTATCGGCGGCCGTATGGCGAAACGGAACTACTTTCCTTAAAAACCACGCTTCAGAGTTGACACGGAAGCACTAGGAGTGATTGACGTAACAATTATCCAATAGGCGTGAAGCAAACGCCAATAGCTCTGCTCTGATTGGTCGTTTGCTCGGAATAAATACGTCGCGCGCCCATGTTCTTCCTCTTTCTTTCACGCGACCCTGTGTAGTGGTGAGTGTTTTTTTTTCTTCCCCTCGCCGTTTTTCAGCGCTAAATTAGGAGTGTAAGAATTACGTGAGAAGCTTTGAGTTGAAGAGATAATTGTACGTGCTGCTCTACGACGTATATTTTTCGTGTTTAAATTTAAACGTAAAGCAGCAAAATGTAGCGCGGCCTTTAGCGGTTCGTTAGCCGGCTAACGTTAGCCACAGACCACATGTCGAGGCCGGAGTTCCTGGTTGTGTCGTCTTTGTTCTGGATCAAAGTTGTTTACGTCTCATTCTGTTCTCCGGTTCTAGAGTCAACCTTGTCTTTAAACCAGCTGTTCAAGCGATCCTTGGAAGCACTGTCAAGATGCCCAGGGAAGACAGGGCCACGTGGAAGTCCAACTATTTCATGAAAATCATCGTAAGTATCATGATTTCTAACCAGATCACGACATAACATTGCCACATGCGTTCTATTAAAAACTTTGTCTTGACATAGCGTTTCTTTCGCAGCAACTTCTGGATGACTATCCAAAGTGCTTCATTGTGGGGGCGGACAACGTGGGCTCCAAGCAGATGCAGACCATCCGTGTGTCTCTGCGTGGAAAGGCCGTGGTGCTGATGGGTAAAAACACCATGATGCGCAAAGCCATCCGCGGTCACCTGGAGAACAATCCTGCTCTGGAGAAGTGAGTTCATCCATCTCCCCCTGGGGTTTGTTAAACAGCAGGATATCTACTGTGCAGCTTGTGTGGTGCTGCATTGTCGTTCCCCCTGCTGAAAGGAAAATGTCTCCAGCTATGCCTGTCTGTCCACGTCTCACGGCAGCCAGGGACGCAAGGTTTCACACACTTGACCTGCAGACTTTATTAGAAATTAACTTGAGCGTATTGAAAACTGTTTGTTTTGACAGGCTTCTGCCCCACGTTAAAGGGAATGTGGGTTTTGTCTTCACCAAGGAGGATCTGACTGAGGTCAGGGACATGCTGCTGGCCAACAAGGTACAGAACTAGTCCATATTTAAGGATTTTTAAAGTCACCAGATTTATTGCCAATTAATGCATCTCCCTGCAGATAAATTTATTGAATATAAATAAAATGGCAGAATTGGCAGCACACGTCTTTGTCTAAAGCCTGTTTTACAGAAAAGTTTTCAGCAGCAGAACTTTAGGTCGATGAACGTTCAGAGTAATAAAAAAAATAAAACAATTCTGATTAGTACCAAAGTCTGCTCAGTAATCCAACAATGTTAAGTCGGGTCATCTGGACGGTTTCTTTTTGTTTCCTCAGACTGATGAAGCCCTTTGGATGGAGGGTGAAACGTCTCGGCACAAAAAAAGAAACAGTCCCGATGACCTGACTGAACATTGTTGGAAATCTGATTAGTGCGTTTGCTTAAAATGAGCTGCTCTAATTGTGAGTAAAGGTAAAGTTTGCTGGACTCTACAGTCGGCGCTCAGTTCTTTTTTTGTAGCGTCCTCATGAAGGTGCAGGATAAGTTACAATGCAGCCTGTTCAGTACTGTATTGTCGTTCCCCCTGCAAACATTAACCTGTTTCCTAGCTATCCCTGTCTGTCATTATCTCTTGACTGTTGGGGACGCAAGGTTTCAGACATTCGTATCCCAAAATCTGAAATCTCAAAGTTGCGTTTTAAGGCTTTGGTTAAGCTAAATAATTGTAACTTTTACTGTTCCCTTTCAGGTACCTGCAGCTGCTCGTGCTGGAGCCATTGCCCCATGCGACGTGACAGTGCCAGCCCAGAACACTGGACTGGGTCCTGAGAAGACCTCTTTCTTCCAGGCTCTTGGTATCACCACCAAAATCTCCAGAGGGACCATTGAAATTTTGGTGCGTTTGACAACAGTTGATCTAGTGGATATAAATCACAGCCACGTGCATGCAAAAATGTTTAAATTTAAAGCAGAAGTATCCCAACAGCCAAGTAACCTCTTTTTCCCCGTTTCTTTAGAGTGATGTTGGTCTGATCAAGCTTGGCGACAAAGTTGGTGCCAGCGAGGCCACGCTGCTCAACATGTTGAACATCTCGCCCTTCTCCTTTGGACTCATCATCCAACAGGTGTATGACAATGGCAGTGTGTACAGTCCCGAGGTGCTCGACATTACAGAGGCCTCTTTGCATACCAGGTTCTTGGAGGTGAGTTACAGGGTTTATTCACAACACTGTAACTATTATTTAGAAACGCTGTACTTCTAAATTGTCAGCTCATTCTTAACTTCTGTACATCTAGGGTGTGAGAAACATCGCTAGTGTTTGTCTGGAGATCGGCTATCCCACTTTGGCCTCCATCCCCCACTCTGTCATCAATGGCTACAAGAGAGTCCTGGCTGTCGCTGTGGAAACGGACTACTCCTTCCCCCTGGCAGATAAGGTATGCTCATTCTACAGTTTTTATTTGGCGTGATGAGTTTCGATATAGCTTCCGGTCAGTTCTTGTCGTCTCTGAACTTACTAAGCAGTCAGGGTTACCTTTGATTTCAGACGACCTTTTCTAGATTCTGCTTTGATCCCTTATCCCAAAGCTAAAAATGACTGGAAATGGGGAAAACATCACTGACGTTTTTGTTCTTTTTTGATTTTGTCCTCGCAGGTCAAAGCCTTCCTGGCTGACCCATCTGCTTTTGCTGCTGTTGCAGCACCTGTGGCTGCTGTAGAGACTGCTGCAGCTCCAGCTGCTAAGGAGGAGGTTAAGGAGGAATCTGAGGAATCGGATGACGACATGGGCTTCGGTCTGTTCGACTAAAAATACAGCGAACAGAATGTTTGAATCAAAAACACCACGATTCAATAAATTTTATAAAACCTTTTTTTGTTGACTTTTCCTTGTGTAAATTTTGAGACGTGTATTTGACTAATTTCAACCTAAAGATAACCAGGATTACGATGTAATGTTCTCATTTAGGTGGGTCTGTAAAGGATAAGGGATACTGTGATAAACAACCGGAAATGAGACTGCATGGAAAGAAAAGGTCACTTCCTGTTTGGGTGTGCCAACTTTCAAAGTAATGGGCTACAAGCTTTTTATTTTTTTTTAACGTTTGAAATTGAGATTTGGAAGAATGTCAAAACCTACTAAATGTATCTGGTTTAGAATAGTCTTAAATTTGATAATGCAAGTGCTGCTTTTAGGTTCAAAAAGCGTTCAATACAAAAAAAAATTTTTGCTTTTAGGTTGATTAGATGACAAACTTTTCACCATCTAGGTCACATAGCTTTTAAAATAGCCCTGGGCCTGAACAATATGCATGTTTTTGGATAAATATCTGGCTAGATCAATCAAGTATCGATTGATAAACCTATTTTGTTAAGGTCAATTGTATTTTAAAAGGACCACTTATTGAATAACTTACTAAATTGACTTATTGAGCAAGGGAAAAGGCCTGGTCCTAAAGGTAACCCAACATGTATGTTTTTGGACAAATATCTGGCTAGATTAAGTATCAGTTTATGGATAAACCTATTTTTACAAAGGTAAATTGTATTTTAGAAGGACCAGTTGTTTTAAATAACGAGCAAAATGGACTTTTATTACGAAAAGGGAACACCGGAAGTCCTTGGTGACGTCACAGATGTGTTGAGGTAGAAGGAACGTCTGCAATGGCTGAGGTAATTTTTTTCGTGTGTGTTTATAGTCTTTAAAACGACACGGTTGGTGTTGAGTTGTGTAAATAATTTTACTGGTTCCCAGTGGTTTTACTTTAGATAATAAAGCCGTAAATTATGGTTTCTACCAGCAGCGTTGAATCAACGTAAGTTACGTAGGTGGTAGCTAGCGATCTCTCAGACTGGTAGTTTCTGTTTACTTTTATCTTGGGTCGTTACTTTCACCTGTATGTTCGGATTAGACACTTGATTACATGCTAGATTTATATAATCGCAGGATTGCGGTTCATATTCACGTGGTGCGCGCACACGACACCCTGGCTCGAGTTAGCTTGTTAGCCGATCATGTTTTTGCTCAGACCCACAGCTTACAGGACCTCCAGCAGCCGGCTGTCTCCTCCAAGGTGTTTGTTCAAAGAGACTACGGCTCAGGAACAATATGCAAGTTTCAGACCAAGTTCCCCTCTGATCTCGAATCAAGGGTACGCACAGAGTTCACCTGGTTGTTGTGATTTATTTAAATCTAAACCTCTGTAAGATTGTGGGTTTCGACTGCTTGTGTGGTTTCAGCTCGATAAGCAGCAGTTTGAGGAGACCATCCAGACTCTGAACAACCTGTACGCAGAGGCAGAGAAACTCGGTGGGAAGTCCTACCTGGAGGGGTTCCTGGCTTGCATGACCGCCTACACCATCTTCCTCTGCATGGAGACACACTATGAAAAGGCAAAACTGCTTCACATCTGTGATATAAACTTTGGAGGGGTAGACACGTTGTACATGATTAAGTTTTGTTCTGTTTGTGTACAGGTGTTAAAGAAGATTGCCAGATACATACATGACCAGAATGAGAAGATTTATGCTCCAAGGGGCTTGCTGCTGACGGACCCCATAGAGAGAGGCCTCAGAGTTGTATCCTTGAGTCATTTCAATTATATTGTTTATTTATTATGGCCAAAGGCTGGAATCGAGATTTTCTTTTTTATGACCATTATCACATCTTTCATATTAGTCATGAGTTTGTCACAAGTTTAGGCAGTAAACATTAGTGTACGTATATTGTTAAAGCTTGGAAATTTGAATCTATCCATCCATCCACTATCTTCCGCTTGTTCTGAAGTCGGGTCTCGGGAGCAGCAGTTTGATCAGGAGGTCCAGACCTCTCTCTCCACAGCCACCTCTTCCAGCTCTTCTGGGAGGACTCCAAGGTGTTCCCAGGCCAAATGAGAAACATAGTCTCTCCAGCGTGTCCTGGGTCTTCCCCAGGGTTTCCTCCCAGTCGGGCATGCCTGAAGCACCTCCCTAGGGAGGCGCCCAGGAAGCATCCTTACCAGATACCTGAACCACCTCAACTGGCTCCTCTCAATGTGGAGGAGCAGCAGTTCTACTCTGAGTCTTTCTCGGATAACTGAACTTCTCACACTATCTCCAAGGGAGAGTCCAGCTACCCTGCAGAGGGAATTCATTTCATCCACCTGTATCCATGATCTCATTCTTTTGGTCACTACACAGAGCTCGTGACCATAGGTGAGGGTAGGAATGTAGCCCAACCGGTAAACAGAGAGCTTTGCCTTACAGCTCAGTTTCCTCCTCACCACAACGGACCGGTACAGAGTCTGCAATACTGCAGACGCCGTTCCAATCTGTCTGTTGATCTCACTCTCCATTCTTCCTTCGCTCGTGAACAAAACCCTGAGATGCTTGAACTCCTCCACTTGAGGCAGAACTTCACCCTTGACCCGAAGAGAGCAATCCACCCTTTTCTGGTTCAGGACCATGACCTCAGATTTGGAGGTGCTGATTCACATCCCAGCCGCTTCACACTCGACTGCAAACCGCTCTAGTGAGAGCTAAAGATCACGTCACAATGACACGAACAGGCCCACATCATCTGCAAAGAGCAGAGATGGAATCCTGAGGCCACCGAACCGGAAACCCTCTGCCTGCTGGCCGCACCGAGAAATTCTGTCCATAAAAGTTATGAACAGAATAAGTGACAACATGCAGCCCCGGTGGAGTCCAACTCCCACCCTGAAGGGGTCTGACTTACTACCGGCAATGTGAACCAAACTCTCTCACACCGCTTGTATAGGGACTAAACAGCCCGTAAGAACGGGCCCCCAATCCCATACTCACAGAGCACCCCCCACGGTGTACCCCGAGGAACACGGTCGAATGCCTTCTCCAAATCCACAAAACGCATGAGCTGGTCCGGTGTTCCACGGCCAGGATGAAACCCGCATTGTTCCTCCTGGATCTGAGGTTTGACCAACGATCGGACTCGCTTCTCCATTACCCTTGAATAGACCTTACCAGGCAGGCTAAGGAGAGTGATGCCCCCATTATTGGAGCACACCCTCCGGTCCCCATTTTTGAAGAGGGGAACCCCCACCCCAGTTTGCCAATCCAGTGGCACTGCCCCAGATGCCCACACGATGTTGCAAAGGCGTGTCGGCCAAGACAGCCCCACAACATCCGAACCTTAAGGAAATCAGGTTGAATCTCGTCCACTCCCGGAGCCCTGCCGCCTCGGAGACTTTTAACTACCTCTGCGACCTCAGCCACAGTTATAGATGGATCAACCCCGAAGTCCCCGACTCGCCTTCCTCCATGGAAGGGATTCTGGTGGGATTGAGAAGTATTCCCTCCACCTCCCTACGACATCACTGGTTGAGGTCAACAGCACCCCACCTTCACAAGATACAGTGTTAGTAAAGTGCTGCGTTACCCTCCTCAGGGGGACCTCGGATGGTTTGCCAGAATCTCCTCGGAGCCGACCGAGAGTCTATCCGAGGTCTCACCAAACTCCTCCCACATCCGAGCTTTTGCCTCAGCAACAGCCAAGGCTGTGGAGCGCTTGGCCCTCCGGTACTCCTCAGCTGCCTCCGGAGTCCCACCTGCCAACAAGGCCCGATAGGACTCCTTCAGCTTGACAGCCTCCCTAACCCGGGGTGTCCACCACCAAGTTCGAGGATGCCACCACGAGAAGCACCGACAAACTTATTCCCCACCTTAGCTGGGATGCAGTTAAAGCTCTCCCGGAGGTGTGAGTTGAAGATCTTTCTGACGGGTTCTTCTGCCAGGCGTTCCCAGCGGGGTCCGTCTGGCATCTTCCCCTGCCATCTGATCCAACTCTCTACCAGGTGGTGATCAGTTGACAGCACAGCTACTCTCTTTACCAGTGTCCAAAACAAATGGCTGCAAATCAGATGACGTGACTATGAAGTCAATCATCAGTCTATGACCTAGGGCAGATCTGTGCAAGTAAAGCTTCATAAACGTTACTGGGAGGCTTTACACAGCTGTACTTCGGCATAAAACAGACATCGGCACTACATTTTTTAGTTATGCTACTTATATAAAGTGGTGCTGGAAAATTTGGGAACTATTTAGAATTTTCTATATTTCTGCATAAATATGATTAAATTACTGTTTCTGTTCAGTGCCCCGAGATGACTTCTGTTGTGACTTGGCACTATATAAATAAACTGAATTGAATTGGACCTAAAACAAGTTTAGGTCAGATGATCAGATTTTCATACAAGTCCTAAAAGTAGATGCAGAGAACCCAGTTAAACAAATGAGACAAAAATATTATACTTTGTCATTTATTTATTGAGGAAAATGATCCAATAGTACATATTTACGAGTGATAAAAGTATGTGAACCTTTGTTTTCAGTATCTGGTGTGGACCCCCCTCCCCCCGCAATAACTGCAACTAAACATTTCTGGTAATATTGGATCATTTTATTTAATAAATAAATGACCAAGTATTATAATTTTGTCTCATTTAACTGGGTTCTCTTTATCTACTTTTAGGACTTGTGTGAAAATCTGATGTTTTAGGTCAAATTCGTGCAAAAATATAAACATTTATAAAGGGTTTGTAAACTTTTAAGCACCACTGTATAGCTGATATAAGCAAAAGTGTCTTGTAAATGATCAGTGCAGTGCTGGAATTCTGCTAAGAAAGTCTGGGAAAGAAAATGATTGGACATTATAAAGTGAAGTGAAAATCCTAAAATAGCATTTGGTCAAAGCTCTGTAGGTTTATTTGTTAAATATAAAAAAGTTTCTCAGATGTCATTAAATTATATGAAGGTTATTTTTGCATTGTGCATATTTCCTTAATTTGCCATTTTTCAGGTTGAAATTACCATCTTTGAAGACAGAAGTATTGGCACTGGAAGATAAAAGAAGCTTGTGCTTGAACACCTTTCAGAAAAGTTTCAGACTTGAGAGTCGGCCTCACTTGGAAAATGATGCTTTGGAGTTTTGACATGGTGTTCTTTTTTTGTAGTGAATGAAAACACAATTCCAGGACGGCGGTGCCTTTAGTCAAAAATCAAATGGAAAAGACAAAAACGTTATAATGGTCATTATTCAGAAGTAACCCAAATCTTTTATTCCAATTTTTTAATAATGACTAACAAACACTTATCAGGACTTTCTTAAAGCATCACAGAAATGTGTTTTAACTTTTAGTTTTTGTCTTTTCTTGAACATAATTTTTTTTTTTTGACTCTTCACAGTATAAGCCGATGACCTACCAGATATTCTTCAGCTGTCTGTCTGATCTTGTATGTACAGACAGATTTGAATTTATGTATACCTTTTGATGTAATAATTTCTCCTTTTATTTATTAGAACTTTAAAGTTTGATTTCTTTGAGTTTGTGCACATTTTCTTGTCTTTTTATGCACAGTTGTTGCCTGAATTGTAACCCAGTTGATCAGATCAGATTTTATTAATTGTGCCATTATATTCACATTTTTTTCATCACAGTAATTGCAAATGATTTTATGTACTTTTTGAAACTATCAAGATTATGTTTTGTCAGTGCTGAAAATGGCTGCAGAGCAGGTTTGAGTTGTGGCCGGTAAACTGTAAGATGATGTGTACTTATACACAGTATTGACATGTTGGTAGAGAGAGTTTTGGTGAGACAAAAAGGTTTGTATTTGTTAGAAGAATGTAAACTTTTTGGTGGGGGATCATTTTTTTAAATTGTAAGCTGCATATTTATGTGACGTAGAGGACGGAGCATGTTTAACCAAGTTAATCACGAAATCATATAGCTTAGTGCATTTTGAAAATGTCGTTAATGTGGTGTTGTATAAGTGCACCAGTGCTCCTTAACTGTTTTGTCTGCTGCATATTTATGTTGCAAACGCCATGGTATTATTCATTATCCTTGAACATAGAAGAAATGTAAATGCTCCACAGTGGTGTTTGATTCAGTCACCTTTCTATTGTCATGTTTTATCTTAAAATAAATTCCGGTTCCTTGAAATATGTTTATGTCGTATTTTTTACATCAAGAATATGTAAACATTTAAAGAGACTTGCAGAATTAAGACTTTTATCTGCAAGTGGCATTTTCGACTTGTTTCACGTGTTTTTGTTTGTGGTGCTTTTATTCTGAAAGCACCAAACCGGATGTGTTAAACTGTTTCCGGAGGTCAGCGGGTCACTCGCCTGCTTGTAAATTTAATTTTAATCACCTGCGAAGGTAACTTCTCGCCGAGTCGAAACTGTTCTTTATCTTTAAAGGTGAGTTACAGCAGGAAGTTGTAGAATGATAATTAATGCTCGCATAACAAAAAAATAAAATAAGCTAGCTTTGTTTTCCTGGAGTTTTCACTTTATCGAGGGTGCGCTCATAAAAACACCTATTTTCTGCCAATTAATTAAAGTATTTTACTTATTTAGCTCGTTAAATAACTTTAAAAAGAATTGCATTTATTCTGCATTTGGGGCACAGTGTTTATGCTCTAATTTTACAACTATATGTAGTTTTCTATATAATAACTCCATCCTTTATGTTAACAGACTTCGTCTCTTTTCACCCTGGCGTTTCCTTGTGTCGATGGGATTTACCTCCCGAGGGAAGAAAATCAATTCGTGCATCATGTCATGGATGATTTGGAAACATACCAACAGGAAAACAACCCAAAGAGGTCAAATATAACTTGCTGATAAGTCTGTTTTCTTTAAGTAGTTTTGAGGATTAATGCTTCTGTCTTTGTACATGTTTTAATCTGCTGTTTCTGGCAGAAGTCAAAGTGTACCATACCATACCATACCAATTTATTTATAGAGCACTTAAAACAGCAACAAGGCCAACCAAAGTGCTGTACAAAAGAAAACAAACATGCACAGCGGACAGTAAAACATAAAATAGAAATACAGATACAAATAGCAGCAGAAGCTAACTAAAATGGCCAACAGAGTAGAGAACAGACGGGACCAAAACAAATCACACCGTGTTAAAGGCAAGCGAATAGAAGTGGGTCTTCAAGCGAGACTTAAAGACTGAGAGTGTGGGAGCCTGCCGGACACTCAGTGGCAACTCATTCCACAGTCGTGGACCTGCGACAGAGAAAGCCCTGTCACCTCTGAGCTTACGACGGGTTTCTGGGACTGAGAGAAGCATCTGGTCTGCTGACCTCAGAGGTGGGACATATGGCTGCAGAAGATCAGTGAGATAGGATGGGGCGGAACTGTTCAGTGATTTGAAAACATACATGAGGATTTTGAAATGGATCCGAAGGTGAATGGGTAGCCAGTGCAGGGAGGCCAAAACTGGCGTGATGTGCTCTCTATAGCCTGTACCAGTTAAAAATCGGGCTGCAGCATTTTGGACCAGTTGTAGACGAGCAATGGAGGACTGACTGATTCCAAACAGAAGTGAATTGCAATAATCAAGCCTAGATGTTATGAAGGCGTGGAGCACTGTCTCAAGGTTCTTTTTGGAGAGTATAGGCTTCAGCTTAGACAGCCGTCTCAGCTGAAAAAAACAGGATTTGACCATCATGTTTACGTGACTGTTGAGTTTTAAGGACAGGTCCATTATCACCCCCAGATTAGTGACCTTTTGTTTCTCTAGCGGGGCTAGAGAGAAAAAGTCAATGTCATGGTTCATGAGTGAGCCACTGGGATGGAACAGCATGACTTCAGACTTCTTCTCATTGAAGCTTAAGAAGTTTAAAGCCATCCAGTCCCGGATGTCAGCCAGGCAATCAAGAAGAGGCTGAATAGAGCGTGTGCCTCAGGGGGAAGTAAATTTGGCAATCATCGGCGTAGAAATGAAAGGGTATGTCGTGTTTGCGGAAGATAGCACCTAGTGGCAGCAGGTATAAAGAAAAGAGAAGGGGACCGAGGATGGACCCCTGCGGTACCCCCCCCACTGGAGCGCTGTCGATGCCGAACTAAAAGTGTAGAGATTATTATACATTGGTAGCAGATTATAATAAATTTGCAATATGCTTTGTAAGTCATTCCTTAATAAATAAAACCAAAAACAACATAAAAGGGTAGTTCAAAGTTAGAAAATGTAAAAACTGCTCATTTAGTTAATATGTTGATGAAGCACAATTTGTTTTTCATGTTTTTACTCCATCACTTCCATTTTTGTGGACACTTTTTTTCCTTATTTTTATATGACCATTTTTTGTAGTCGCGCATTTCTTTTTCTCATTTTACTTACTAATGGGAGACTTTCTCTAGTATAACTTTTAAAAGACTAACACTATTGTTTGTGTTCACTGAATGCTTTGACTTGCTCTCAACAACCTCTTGATTACACCTAACATGCTTCGACTTTGTCACTTAGTTACACACACATCTATCTGTGTATGTGTGTGTGTGTGTGTGTTGATCCATTGCATGCTCAATAATTCTGGTGGGTAAATTGAACAAGGTTGAGTCTTGTCCTCTGGACGGATTATTCCAGTGGTGTAGTCTACGTGATATGCGGGTATACGAAGTATACCCAGTAGAAAAGCTAAAAAATATCAGTATACCCATTTAAAAGTGCCTAATGATGCATGACATCTCATGAGGCACGTGTCATTGATACGTTAAACGGTAGTTAAACGCTTCCATAACAATCTATCGATATATGCAGTGCTTGTTTATTCCACTTGCTTATCCAGCAAATTATTGTATAATTAATATCTAAAAAAAGTTAAATCTGGTCCTCTGGACATTCAAAAAAAACAAAACAAAAAAATCTAGAAACGTTTCGTCTCTCATCCGAGAGACTTCCTCAGTCTGAGGTGCTGTTTTCAGCTCAGTCTCTTAAATAGCACCTTCTCAGAGTGGATCAACCAGTTTGCTGCTGACAACCAAAACCAGTTGATCACATGCTCAAGAAGGACCATCAGCCTAACAATGGATCATTAGCACACTGATGGCTGTTTACTATTCACAGAGGGCTGAGTGATACTAGCAATCACAGCATTGTAAGAGGGGGACAGTTGAACCCGGAGGCCTCCACCCCTGTTTAATGATGGACAATTTCTTTTCACAAAGATGGCCTCCTTTACTCCTCTCTCAAACCATCGTTCCTCTCTGTCCAGGATGTGAATATCTTCATCCCTGACAGAGTGACCGCTGGCCTGGAGATGAGTGTAGACCGTAGAGTCCTGGCCTGATGATGTTGATCTTCTGTGCTGGGCCATCCTTTTGGCCAGTGGCTGTTTAGTTTCTTGATGTAAGACTGATCACCCTCCTGACACTGAACAACATACACAACATTACTCTGTTTGTGCCGGGGGACTGGATCTTTGGGATGAACCTACTTCTGTACTTACTACTTAATACTTGAACATGTTTTACTTTGATACTGTTTTATAAATTCTAAAACATGTTTTTAATACAAAGCCAATTGTTGTACAAAGTTTGTTGTTCATTTATTCCAATATAAGCATCAGATGAATTTAGAAATGTTCCAATATGCTTTAAATTCAAAATAAATTGATGATTACATTGTACTAACCGTGGTTTCTAAGCACAGTATACAGACCGACCGTGGTAAAGTTAGTTTTACGTTGGACATTCGCACTTGTTGGCTTCAGCGGTGTCCAACGTAAAACTAACAAAAAATAGACTTCACCACTGGATTATTCTTTATTGAAACGTTTCTTCTTTTACCCGAAAGTGCTTTTACTTAATATTCAGTCTTATTATAATGTTCCTTTTTATTTACCCTTTATTTATACAGGTAGTCTCATTGAGTCACAATAACTCATTTTCAAGAGAGACCTGGTTTTGGGAGCTGATGATGGGGGTTAAGGGCCTTGTTCAGGGGCCCAGAGTGGAGCAAATGAGGGTGGAGGCAGGTGTGGGTGTTTCACCTTTTCCACCCACATTTTGATGTTGACGGTACCAGGAGTTGAACCTGCGACTTTCCGATCACAGGCCCATCTTCTCTAACCTCTGTGCCACCACTCCCCAGCTTATAAGCAGCACCTTCTCGTAGTGGATCAACCAGTTTGCTGGTGACAGCCAGAACTAGTTGTTCACATGGATGGAGGACCAGCAGCCTAACAGCCGATTGTTAGTGCCACGATGGCCGCCTGCTGTTATACTAATGGCTGAGTTAGTTGCAGCTCTTCAGTCTGAAGAAGTCTTTTGCATAAAAGATGAAATGTTTCAATAAAGAAGAATCCGTTCAGAGGACCGGACTCAACCTTGTTAGAATTTTATTTTAAAGTTTGTGTAAGCTCATTGTCAAATATCCAAATATTTATAATGTTTTTTAGTCTGTAATTTCAAAAAGCTGACACCGTTATTGTGCTGATTATTTGTACAGCTGTTCATGCAGTTCGGCTGAACAAAAGCCTTATGTGTATTTTACAAAAGACGATGTTTGTGAAGGATTTAAACTCATGTTTAAGGAAATGACTGCGGTCACATTTGAATGTCATTTATATTTATTCATATGTGGCTTTTATTTTACAACCAGACACTTTTACCATCTTTCACAAAGGCTCATTTTATTAGAAATAACAGGCAATAAACATGTATCCCCGTGTGTCCCTTTCTATCGGTCCAGCGTGCTGCTGTTCCCCCCATTACCCAGCAGACTGCGGTACCTGGTTCACAGGACTGTGGAGGACATGGCAGAGCTCTCCACCTTCTCTGTGGGTGAAAGTTGGTGCCGTCAGGTAGTGGTCTGCCATTCTGAGTTCAGGTAATAAATCGTAAATCTATGGCCTATGCTTTAAAAAAAAAATGTCTAAGAAGATTGGATGACACAACTTAGTAATGTTTTTAAAATGTTTTGGGTGTGACTTATAACTGAGACCGTTCAGAACTACATGCAAAGCGTTCTGTTTGTCTTCTTGTAGGCGTGTGTCGGATGAAGATGGTGGTTTTCAGGGTAACGGAAGTTATTCTGAAGAGCCCCTGGGCAGAAAGGAGGAGGTGGATGGCAGCATCCAGTCTAAAGCTCCTGTCCCAGCACAAAGCCGGGCACCTAAAAGGCCAGACCAGGCCCTGTTTGTGCCCCGAGCTGTTCGAGTTAGACGGTCGTTACAAAACTCTCAAAGCTCCACAGCAAACGAGGACTCCCAAAGTTCAGCTCACTGTAGCAGTAACTCACTTAGCAGCGCACTGGACTCTAGTTCCAGCGCACTGGACTCCAGTTCCAGTGCACTGGACTCCAGTTCCTGTCCTGAAACCACAGAACTTAAAACACAGCAGTCATGCGCCAAGGTGGTGGAGAATAAAACAAACAGTTGTGCAAACAGTTCAGGGTCTTGTTTTCAGGACGAGACACAAGAGTTGGCCCTGAGTCTGCATGAAAGTGAGGCTGTTGTCTGGAATGAGACTCGGTCCCTTTTTTCTGAGATGAGCTTGGCTGGAGACGAGAGTGAGGACCAGACTTGTCCATCAGACAAGGTGCAGATGGAAGACACAAGCACAGATGATGTTTCTGAACTGGTAAGTTACAGGAGCTCTTGTCTTTGGCTTATTCTTCATAGACGCTGCATATTCATCTCTCCACATTCCATGTAACGCCGTTTAATTTGCTGTCCTTTCAGATTAAAGCACATCTCCAAGAAACAGACTGTGTCTCCATAAAACAGGTTCACAGCGATTACTCCCTCTATGAGAACGTTGCTCTCAACTCTGATGACTTGGGCCACGTGATCGAGATCTACAACTTTCCAGCTTTGTTCAAGACGAACGACCTCCTCGATGCTTTCACAGACTACAGGTAGGAGACCAGAGCTCAGCTCACCGAGCGCCGCGTTCGAATCTTCAGTAATCCGCTCCGATATTTAGAGAAGGGCTCCGCGCTAATGTTGGTTTACACATTTTCATCAGTGTATGTGTTGTTTGAAACAAAACATTAACGTGTACTTAACATTATTCCAAATAAAGTCTACCTGTATGTTGAGACTTATGATCTGCATGGGAAGGTCAAAGATTATACAATCTTTCAATATTATTTTTGCTTCCTTTCAAACACCACCTTTAACAATGACTATACCAAACATAATGGAGTTTATATATATTAAAAAAAACTGAATTTATTTATATTTGTTAACCTCCTAGGATCCACATATGCAAGAGTTCAGGTCTTAGGAGGTTAAAGAGTTGTTCTTTGTACAGGTCCTTCTCAAAAAATTAGCATATTGTGATAAAGGTCATTATTTTCCATAATGTAATGATAAAAATGAAACTTTCATATATTTTTCAGATTCATTGCACACCAACTGAAATATTTCAGGTCTTTAATTGTTTTAATACTGATGATTATGGCATACAGCTCATGAAAACCCAAAATGCCTGTCCCAAAAAATTAGCATATCATGAAAAGATTCTCTAAACAAGCTATTAACCTAACCATCTGAATCAACGAAGTAACTCTAAACACCTGCAAAAGATTCCTGAGGCTTTTAAAAACTCCCAGCCTTGTTCATTACTCAAAACCGCAATCATGGGTAAGACTGCCGACCTGACTGCTGTCCAGAAGGCCATCATTGACACCCTCAAGCAAGAGGGTAAGACACAGAAAGAAATTGCTGAACGAATAGGCTGTTCCCAGAGTGCTGTATCAAGGCACCTCAGTGGGAAGTCTGTGGGAAGGGAAAAGTGTGGCAGAAAACGCTGCACAACGAGAACAGGTGACTTTACCCTGAGGAGGATTGTGGAGAAGGGCCGATTCCAGACCTTGGGGGACCTGCGGAAGCAGTGGACTGAGTCTGGAGTAGAAACATCCAGAGCCACCGTGCACAGGCGTGTGCAGGAAATGGACTACAGGTGCCGCATTCCCCAGGTCAAGCCCCTTTTGAACAAGAGACTGCGTCAGAAGCATCTCGCCTGGGACTGCTGCTGAGTGGTCCAAAGTTATGTTCTCTGATTACAGTACATTTTGCATTTCCTTTGGAAATCAAGGTCCCAGAGTCTGGAGGAAGAGAGGAGACACAGAATTCACATTGCTTGAGGTCCAGTGTCAAGTTTCCACAGTCACTGGTGTGTCATGTCATCTGCTGGTGTTGGTCCACTGTGTTTTATCAAGGGCAGGGTCAATGCAGCTAGCTATCAGGAGATTTTGGAGCACTTCATGCTTCCATCTGCTGAAAAGCTTTATGGAGATGAAGATTTCATTTTTCAGCACGACCTGGCACCTGCTCACAGTGCCAAAACCACTGGTAAATGGTTTACTGACCATGGTATTACTGTGCTCAATTGGCCTGCCAACTCTCCTGACCTGAACCCCATAGAGAACCTGTGGGATATTGTGGAGAGAAAGTTGAGAGACGCAAGACCCAACACTCTGGATGAGCTTAAGGCCGCTATCGAAGCATCCTGGGCCTCCATAACACCTCAGCAGTGCCACAGGCTGATTGCCTCCATGCCACGCCGCATTGAAGCAGTCATTCATGCAAAAGGATTCCCGACCAAGTATTGAGTGCATAACTGAACATGATTATTTGAAGGTTGGAGTTTTTTGTATTAAAAACACTTGTCTTTCATTGGTGGGATGAAATATGCTAATTTTTTGGGACAGGCATGTTGGGTTTTCATGAGCTGTATGCCATAATCATCAGTATTAAAACAATTAAAGACCTGAAATATTTCAGTTGGTCTGCAATGAATCTGAAATATATGAAAGTTTCATTTTTATCATTACATTATGGAAAATAATGACCTTTATCACAATATGCTAATTTTTTTAGAAGGACCTGTACATGTAACAGACTTGCACACAGAAAACTATTACAAAAAAACCTCTAAATACGTATTTATCTTTGGCTATAGATGGGCACCAAAGGTCCTTTCTGACACAGTCTTGTCAAAAGTTAAACTTCGAACTGGTCCAAGTTAAACAAACACCACATTGATACAAATACAGAAATAAAGTCACAACTTCCGTCTGTTTAAGCACAACTCAAAATCACATCTTAACCCTTCTATTGCATCTGTGCCGTTTTTATTTTCAGACTAACTTTAAGAACTATTGTTTCTGTGACTTTTTATCGTCATGCCAGTTTCTCTTAATTCAACAAAAACTGGCTCAGTGATGAACACGCTATTAGATTTTCTATTTATTTAAGTCAGATTTTCTAGTTGATGTGTGTTTTAAAATGTCAAAATACAGATAGGTAATGTTTGGCTCATCTTTTTGAAGAATAAGAAATGGATGTCTGCTAATAATCTGCTGTTAAAAGAAAAGTTGCAACAATAAAGTTAACTCATAAACCCAGGGAGTCCAAAGCAAAGGGCCTGTTTGACTTCAGACACCCAGATATCTCAACCACACCTAAATATTTAGAAGTGTGGTTGAGATATCTTATTTTAAAGTATATATTCTTGTTCTTAAATTACAAAAAAAAACAAAAAAACAATCACCATAAGCTCATTTTTTGCATCTCAGTGATGGTGGGATGAAGATCAAGTGGGTGGACGACACACACGCACTCGGGGTTTTCTCCACGGAGGCAGCAGGTGAGAGCTTCAGTGTAAACATGAAGTCGTGTCGGAGGTTAAAAACTGGACGATGACTAAAAAACAGCGTTTGTTTTTAGCTCTTCATGCTCTCTCCATCTGCCACCCGCTGCTGAAGACACGAGCGCTCTCCAAAGGGAGTAAAAAAGCCAAAAGCAAGGCCATCAGATGTGCAGGTGGGAGTTGGAGCTCTGATCGAGATCTGCACCATGTGGTTGAAAGTGTCTTTATGTTATTTTGTTTTGTTTCCCTAAAGAATTCATCCAGCCAGTGAAGGAGCGACCCAGGACAGACTGTGCTGTAGCCAAGCGGATGGTGACCAGAGCTTTAGGCATACAGGGGCGAGGCAGACTGCAGCGATACTGACTGTAAATACTGCTGCTGAGCAAAGGAAACGTTTTAGGTTCCCACAGTGAACACGGAGCTGCTGCTAATATCCTAAATACGTGTTAGCAGACTGATTAAATGATCAGCTGTAAGGCTCCATCTTTGTGTTGATCAGTGATTTTGTTCATAACTAACAGTAAATACAGTATATCATCATCATGAAGCATTAAAGACACAAGTCTGCTTTGATCATATTTTATTTAAAAACACAATTCTTGTCCACATTCACCTCAGCATCCAAAATAAAAGCAATTAAACTTAAATTGCTTCATCCAAACTAATTTACAAACCTACGAGGAGGTCTTTTTACATCCACGTGTGGCTGTTGCAGCACTCCCACAACGCCGTCGCAGTCCCTGATGGTAATAACTTAACAAAACTCAGACGACGACACTGGTCCAGATGGGATGTACAGACCGAAGGTGACAACGCACGACAAAAATAATAAATACATTTCCACAATAAACTTTGGGAACACACTCAAAAGAACCAGATCCAAGCAGCTGTTGCAGGCAGTCACTTGGAGGCTCAGCCAGAAAAATAGAAACCTTATTTTCAGTTCCTTATAATAAAGTGGACACACATTGCAGTGAATATATAAACCATTTGTATCCAGCTGTGTGAAGAGACACATTCAGGACAAAACTGACCAGCTCTAGCACCAAATTTAACAAAGACTATTTTCATATTTTCATCCATCCAGAGTCATCACATCTATTCAGGAGTATGGCCATGTCCTATTTTTGGTCTTCACTCTCCAAACAACTTTGTGTTTTAAAGCACTTGTTGCTGAATAACTCATTTGGCTACAATCCTTATTTTAAGCACCAGGTTTCATCGACAACAAAGACACAAACAGAACTAACTTTGTATATAAAAAAAAACGAACATTTGGCAAGCAGTTCATCTATTGAGCTGTAGTTTGTACCGGTTGAGTCCTGGACTCGACAGTAAGCACACAGCTCTCTAGTGGTTGTCAAACACGACTGTTGGCTTCCCTGATGTCCTCCATGTGTTCAGTCCTCTTGGTGGTTCTACCTGTGTGAAAGCTGGTTGTTCAGAAGTCCGGGAAACGTGTCCTCTACGTCTGAACTTAATGTGCCCCCTGCGATGTTAAACAGGAAAAAGATGATTAGAAATATTCAGTGAAACGACTCGACTGAAGAAATTCTCTGTTAAACGGCGAGGAGGATGACTGCGGTGTGATGCAGCAGTTTCCTGAGAGTTCATTAAATTGAGTCTCGCGCGTCAGATCGTGTCCCTCTGAGGAGTCTCACCGAGCATGAGCAGTACGACTCTGTCCTGCAGTCAAACAGGTTGTCATGACGACGGACCGACAGATTTCACTCCATCATTTACACTCGGAGCAAAGTATGAGATTACATTTAATTTTCTGTAGTTGAACTATACAGTTTCTGTTGTTCATTGTTAGCCGCACAAAAAATAATTACAGCTCCAAGTTCAATAAATTATGATTAAAACTATAAAAAAAATATTTCCATTGGCCCTGAAATAGGGACTTTTAAAAAAATTTATTGCTTGTCTGTTAAACTGAAGTGTTTTCCATTATATTCAAAGCCCTCAGCTGTTTTCAAAATCTGTTTCCTCCCTGTCAGGTGCAGGGTATTCTCAGGGTTTGGTTGATCTATTCCATGTGTGGCCGTTTCTAATGTTGCAAAAATATATTTAGTTTAGTTGTTTTCTCCAACTGTGGACAAAGTTTACGTCATTTCATTTCAGACTTAATGAAGTTGTGGAAACTTGAAGTACGTTTATACTTGTTACTGTTCGGTTATTTCTCAGTCATTTTGTTGCTGATTTGACACAATGGTCACATTTTGAGGAACGTCTAAATTTCATTTAGAAAAATCTGGTACATTTTTTTAATTTATTAATAAAGTTTATATGTTTAAATGCACTGAGCATTAATTTATCAAGCTGATTGTATTCTGCATTGATGTACAGTTTGTTAATTTGCAACAGAATTAAACTGCATGTAGTAAATTATGTGTTAATTGCTGCATTGTTTTAGAATATGAACAGATTAAAAAGGTATCACTTCCTGTTAATGTTAAGTATTGTAAAAAAAAAAAAGTCTTGGTTCATTATAACATTTTTTGTACTTTTGTGTAAATAAAAACCATTTAAATGTTGGACAATGTTTTTATTCTTTAGCTACATGGTGTAACAACAACAACTACGTTATAATTATTCTGTCAGGAAACTAAAATCTTTCAGCAACATTTCCTGAGTGTTTACTGGTTTAGAAGACTGACGTGTGAAATAAAGACGTTTGAGAGAGACCGCCTCACGTTTGTGCTCATCTTCTCCAAAGATGAGCACGTTTGGACCCACACTGGATCCAGGAAGCACTTTTACATCGACTCTTGTAAGAATATTAGACATTTGGATGCAGATCCAGTGCATTCACTGAATTTAAAAACCTTGACTCTAATGGATTAACAGATTTTATATGTATGTAAATGTTTCTGTGCCCTCAGACGACTTCTGTTGTGATCTGGCGCTTTATAAATAAACTGAAGAATTGACTAAGCGGTCTTTAAAGTGGATACGGTGCAGCTTCACATTTCACCACGTTCGAACAAATTGATGTTTTATTCCTGTTGCAGGAGGAATCGGGTCTTCTCACCTATATGACAGTTGTACGTCCATATCCGATGGCCATCATATCTTGAGCGACACTTCATTATGTTGTTGGTGTAATCGGACTCTGCAACCTCATAGTTGGGGTTTATCACAACCTGTAAGGGAGATGATGATGATAATGTTGCAGGTTCACACCGTGGCTTAATTTATTGATTGCAAGGTGAACAAAGAGTTTGTGTAAAGTTCAGAGTCATTCTTGCGTAGATGTATGGTCTACAAGACCGTGGTGGCTGGAAAAGAGACTTTTTCCACCAAAGGATTTAAATGATCAAACGAGACTAAACCAGTAGACCACATGTACCTGCAAGATGTAGTCGCCAGGCTTTAGGTCTGTGATGTCTATCCACTGACAGTCGATGTCGTGTCTGTAGGTGTCCCAGCAGCCCACCGTGATGCCCTGAGAGCCGAAGTTTGCACATTCGTACCTCTTCTGTATACCTGAATTCAGAACAGAGTTGGCGTCAAGATGCTCAAACGTTCTCTTAAGCAGCCATGTTCTACTGAAACAGGAAGGCTGGTGTCCGTCCTGACCTTCGTCACAGTAGGTGTCCTCCAGACAGAAACTGGCTTTGTGTCCCTCTGCTACTTTTGTCCCGTTCAGACTCAGCAGGTCATAGTAGGTGAAAACTTCCATACTGTGGTAATGTCTGGATCAAACCGGGAGAGGAGTGTTTAAACATCAAACAGTCGATTCATTAAATATAATAAACGTGTCTCGTAGCTGACACTTGAGTCAAATCTGAGCGCGGCAAGATAACTGGAGAAAAGCTTTTATTCCACTGTGATATCGGGTAATTGTGTGAAAATGAAAATATGTGCTGTCACAGTCACTCTATACGATATAATCACACAAACGGCAGGTTCTGTTGACGTCCCACCTGTGACATTCATGCCAGACCCAGGAGTGGGGGGACGCCCGCGGTCTGAAGTCTGACAGACCGTTGTTGTGGATCTGGGAGGAGAACCGGAGGAGGCGGCGGTAGGAGCTGGAGTCCGCTTTGTCAGCTGTGCTGGACAAGCAGCGCTCCTCCTGGGCACACTGCAGAGCGTACAAGGGCCTGTCCTCCAGGTACGTGGTCTGCTCCACAACCTGGGCGCTCAGGACCAGGTCTGGGGCCGCTGTGAGGGGGAGAGCCGCAGGAGATGATGTGATTAAAAACCACTTCTATCTCACAAACAAAAGTTTCCAGTACTCTTTAAGAAAATACTCCTCCTTACTACCAAAAAGTACAATTTAATGTATTATACCGTATTTTCTGTCATACACGTTGCACCGCCCTTTAAGTCGCATCAAACCAAATATGTCTAATGAAGTGGAAAAATCCATAAATACGTCGCTTCGCCGTATAAGTCGCATCTATCATGCGTCACCGCTGACAACCTGGAAATGTGTGCCAAAAATCGATTGGCTGCCAAAGTTCGGCCGCGGGAGCGTGCACAGGAGGACTTTAACAAGAATTTAACAAGATTAACACTTAAAAACAATTTTTTTTGCTCAAAATTCTAGTAAAGGTGCGTCTCAGTCTAACTTTTACTTAATAAATGCACTTTGGCGGTCAAATCAGCTGCATTTCAAAACCCGATACGCGGAAGTAGGAACGCACAGAGGGACAAGTCGCTGCTCATTTCTTTGAAATTTAACAAGATAACCACCTAAAAACAAATTGTTTGCTCGACTTTATAGTAAAGGTGTGTCTCAGTTGAACTTTTACTTAATAAATGCACTTCAGTGGTCAAATTAACTGCATATCGCTGGGGCGGTGCAGTGAAACGAAGCTGATTTGACGGATGCTCCAAGCGAGCTGGATGAAGGTGGCCGTCAAAAGCAAGTGTCATTAATAGCCACTTTTACCTATTACATGACACAAAGGTATGCCATACTCCTCTGCTGCTGTCTACTGGCTAAAAAAATGATAGTGTTCAATATTTTCAGTCAGAATGAATGAAAACGGTCACATCTCAGCCAAAAATTGGTTTATAAATATGGGAAAAAATCTATAAATAAGTCACTTTGGTGTATAAGTCACAGGACATTCAACTTGTGCAAAAAATGCGACTTATAGGGCGAAAAATACAGTACTGAAAAAATGGTAAAACAAGACTAAATAAGTGTTCAACTAAAATGTGTTTTTAATGCATTTCCTTACTCTGTGTGCAAGAAACTCCAGCAGCAAAGCGTCCGCCCCCTTTAGGACAGGTGACGTGTTTCCCATGATGCAGACACTGATCCAGAGTCAGCTCTGTTCCTGAACATCTCACTCCACTCATCACCACAGCATCAGATGATGAATCTCCTTGCCAGTACCATGTCTCCTAAAGAAAATTGAACAAAAAAAAAATGTTAAAATGGCTGGACACTGAGGAGTAAGAGGTGATCCCACTGATAACCTGTAGCAGGCGTCATCTAAACATTTGATGAACTACATTTAAATGGAGTCAGAAGGGTTCATTTAGGCATCTGAGCTATCCTGCAAGGAGAATCTATATCACACTGTCCTGACTCAGCCTGTTTGCACAGTTTTGCAGACCAAAGGGAAACGTTATGAGTGGGAAAACTCAGACTTTCCATTGCCCTCCGTGGAAGTGGAGGATGTAAATGAAGGTGAACTCGGGGGGGCTGACGGTGGTCTGAGTAGAAGTGCAGTTTAAGCTTGCTGTCATTTGTTCCATCTGTGGTGGGGGGTTTGCCTGGAGAACTATTTATGAGTAAGTCAGGAGTCTCCAGAGGGTCTGAGGAGCTCCAGGAACTATTTTACTGTACTCTACACTAAAACCCTTACGTAATGCAAACTAACAGAGTGGTGTGTTTTTAAGATAGCTTGTCCAGCAATGTTGACCTGACACCCTTCACTTAAATAGCCTTCATCAGATCCAGGCCAAGATCCACTCAGACCCCCTGCGGTCACAGACACACCTCCTGATGATTCGTTCATACTTTCCAGACATATACAACCTAAACCACAGCAAAGATATAGAAGACAGGAGGGAGTTCCCCCTCAGGACATGTAGGCAGCTCTAATCAGTTGTGAGCAGGACCGCAGTGAGACGCTGACCCAGTTGTAACTTGTTTTTACTGATGGAAGGTCCACTATACTAAAACACAAGCTAAACTTCTCTACAGTCCTGCTGAAAGGCTGCAGCAGATACTCCTCCACTAATTGGCTTTATCTGCTTTTTCTCTTTGTTTTTGATGTTTCGCAAGTAATGACGTCATTTTTTTTGACCTCTGGAATCAATAAAGCTCAAGTTTGTTAAGAAAGAGAGAGTTAATGGCCTCCGCTGCCACGCACACGCATTTACAAACAGTTTAAACTGAAAATGTGAGGCTGGTGTGAGCTCATCCTTTTCTTATGCAGCTGTAACTTTCACATCAGCTCCTGCTCCTCTCCAGTCTATAAAACTGGGTTTAAGGTAAATATGTTTTTATACATCACATCATGCTGAAAAATAAAGTGTTTAAATAATGTAATGCGCAGAATATATAAGTGTCGTCAGTGGATCTGTTCTCAACAATGAGAGGAATCCTGAAACACAGTGGGTTGGCAAATAAAACTTTATTTTATCATTTAAAATTTAATGTCATGGGGTCTAATCATCTCAAATACAACTGACTATCACTTGAACTCATATGAAAGGCAAAATGTATATTTTGATTTGAATATAAATACAAAATATGTAACACTATCATTTTCTTAGTTTATTGCAGAGGGCTGACATCTGTATTAATTCTTTATATTTTAAAGGTTTCATTTTAACATTAACAATAAAGGTTTCCTACCACATTAAATCCATTAATAACTCTTAAAACATGCATTTTTTAAATGTTTTTGATTTGAATGTTTATGCGTATAACACAATTTATTTGTCATTAAATGACTGGGAGGTGAAGGAACTGACTCATCAGAGGTTTTTGTAAAAATTGTGTTAGAATACAACAAATTGTCCTCACCTTAGTTTATAACTTAATTTGTTGATCAGTTACGGAAATCCTCTCGTTCAAGGTTCAAGGTTCTTTACTGTCATTCGCATCACATGTGGTACACGAGGTGGAATGACAATGTGTACTCAAGGTCACAGTTACACCAAAAAATAGCAAAAATATAAAGTATAAAAAAGAAAACAGTATACAAGGATCTAAGATATACGCTAAACAATAATAATGTAATATAATACAGTGTATTAAACAGCAGTCTGAACATGAGTCTGCTGTGAGCAGATGGGTAGGAATACAGCAGCTTAAGGTAAGAAATCAGCAGCATGGATAATCAGCAGCAAGTATAATCAGCAGTTTGGAATATCTCTGCACAGCTTGATTACGTTTAATCTTAGCCCCAGCTCGATATCTGCTGTGCATCAAGACTGTCTGAAGTGTACTCGTCCATGTTCAAACGTAAACAAACGACTCGTAACTGTTGGCAACAAAACCTGACAGCTGGTTTCACTCATTTATCACAAATTATACAGTATACTATAGTTAGTGAATGATGCACATTTAGCGGTTCTTTTTCTCATGGAAGATGTACATGTGCAAACAATTCAAATCAAACCAAAAAAAAAAGCACCTTTTGACAGCTATTTTTGCTTTAAATTGAGAAAATGCTCCACTCTTTTATAACTAAACAGGCTGTTGTGCATCCACTGTCCAAGTAGGCATTCAAAGAATAAACTGAATATATGTGAGCTTCAGAAACTCAGATGAGACCATGTGGAGGACCTGTATGGACTTGCAGTTTTATGCTGGACCTTTATGCTGAACGTAGATCATTTTCTTTCTCGTCCTAAAAATTATTTTATCTTTGCAAGTCTGGCGGTGAAAAAACTAAAACTTGTTTATGGACGTTACCTGGAAAGCATGGCTGGCAAACCCCAGTCCCAGCTGTTTGCACACCACCATGGCCTCCATGGTTCCCCAGCTGTCGCTGCACACTGAGCCCCACACCAGAGAGCCGTTTCTCTCTGCCAGGATCTCCACACGGCCCTCGTAAGGGTTACGGCCGCCGCTTAACCGAAGCTGAGGGCAGAAGCCAACACATAAATGTCACATCCAGTGTTTTAAAAACATTTGCTTTTTATATGGAGACAGAGTAGCTTACTCGAGTGTTGAAGCCCATTTTAGGAACGTTACACCTGACGGCAGCATCTTCCTCGTGGCTGCAGCCCAACGAGTCGCGGTTAAAGTGGCACTCAGTCAGAGACTTCTCAAACCCAGAGCATTCCACCTCGTTCATGTGAACGGACCCAATTCCTACAGGAGCACATCAAACATAAAAAGTGACTCTGCTGAAGGAATGACTAAACTTACAGCTGCAGCACTAACATCTCACTACAACTAAAATTTATTTTCATTGCTAGAGGAAGTAAATCTGATCTTTAGGGTTCATCGGATCCTGGGAGGACATGTTTGTGTTAGAAACAGAAAGACATAGATGTTTGGGTTCTGTTAGAACACGACCTTACAGAGGCCAAGAAGGAAACCATGACAAATGAAAACGATTCTCTGAGGGATCATGAAAAAAAAAAATCAATGTTTCATAATTTCTACAATAGTTTGTGCAAGTTCCGCTCCAGATGTTGTTTTGGGCTTGTTCTGATCGGTCAGAAAAGGAGGACCAATTCAGTATCAGATGTTCCTAATGTTATGGCTGACTGATCATATTACCGATGGAAACGAGGAGCCTGTGTGTTTGTGACCGAGTTTCACTCTGACATTCTTGCTCGGTCCAGTTCACCGGCTTCTGAAAACAATCGCTAACTGTTCCAAGTCTGCGTGTGGTGCCGTTTTTAGATGTGGTGGTTCGCTCGTGAAGAAAGCCCTCAAACAGCCTTCTTCACTCCAACACAGAATTCCTCTGCTGAACCCCATAAAGGTTGTTTTCTTTTCTGGGAACATTTTGTACGCTCCTCTGTTTTGCTCAGAGAAAAAGGCGGAGAGAGAGGGGAAAAAAAAAAGTGTAAGTTTTCCAACAACCATGTGAATTTTATAAAACTGTGGCGTACAGCATGATAGAGAATCAGCGTTTGGTCCAATGCACAAACATTAATGTTCTACTCCATATATTCTCTAATGCCTGCAAGCGCTGACTTCAGGTCTAGACGGACTGAAGGGAGACAAAAACAGGTGGTACAGACGCCAAAGATAAAGGTGGAGGGCGCTACTTCAGTCAGCACCTTTCGTTTTCACAGATGTCTGCATGTGTAGATTTAAAACGGTGAACGCTTTCAAGTCTTAATTTTTTGCAGCCGTTCAAAAATTCAGTTTGAATTAACTGCACTTGAAACACTTAAAAATTCAGACGTACTTGTTACATTCAGATTTATTTAAAAAGGTCAGAGTAAAAAAACAAAACAAAAAAAAAGAGTTTTTCTTTCACACACAGATGCAACACATTCCCTACAAAAGTTGTTCCCCCTGGAGTTCAGTCATCTGTTTGTGAGGGATGCTCTGATCCAAACCTTGTGATTCTATCAGCTGATCTACAGCCAGCCCCGGTGACTCGAACAGTCCTACAGATGAGACGATTATTATGCGTTTTACTCAAAATCTGCCTTAAAAATCTAAAAAACTAACTGTTGAAAAAAGTTGTCTGTCCCGAACACTTTTTAAACGAGAGGATTTCAACACCACCAACACGAGGAGCATGTGGCATCAGAGCTCTCGCAGCCTACAAGAGCCTCCCCTCCCCCACTCCGATGTCTCATTATGAGCTCATCAACTTCTTTCCAACGTTTGACAACAGAGACGTGACAGTGAGCACACTCCCAGTAGCAGAGGGGGAACAGCTTCTGACACGGAGCGCACATGTTTAGTGCACACTGCAGAGAGTCAACCCACACGAGGCCGCGGGCTCGGATGGTGTTCCAGGCTGGATTCTCAGGGACCGTGCTGAACTAGTTTTCACTGACATCTTCACTCTGTCTCCGTCCCTGGCTAAAGTCCCACAGTGCCTGAAATCATCCATCATAGTAGTGTCAAAAACAACCAACACAAGCTCCCAGAATTATTTCTGACCAGTGGCTCTTGCATAAACAGTTTTTTGTGTGATAAATTGGTTCTCTCCCAGCCACACTAGACCAGCACCAGTTTGCATACAACAGATCCACAGAAGATACCGTCTCTCTGGTTCTTCACACTGCACTAACTCACCTCTGGAAAAATAGAGCACACATGTGAGGACTCTACATGTGGACTCTGCTTTCAACACTACTGCCATCCCCTGACAACTGACTGCCAAACTGGACCAGCTTGGACTAAGCCCATCAATTTGAAACTGGATGTCACGATCGGGTTTTGGATTCAGATTAAGCCAGACACAGGAGTGCAAAAACAAGAACAGTTTTTATGAACTAGTCTGCTGGTTGCTGGGGTCAGGGTCCAAGGCAGGAGTCCAAACTTCTCAGTCTGTATGTGGCAGGAGAAATCCAGAGGCGTGGTCCAATGGTCGTAGCGGGGGTCAAGCACGTAGAAGCAGAGAAACAAGAACAGGGCCGAGTCGTGATCCAAAAGAGTAGTCAAAGGGAGAGCAAGAGTCGTCACCGCGGTCAGATATGCAGACAAATCCAGAAAGGGACAAGGCAAGGAGTCAAAAAACAGGTGAGGGTTCAAGGCAAGACAAGGATACAAGATACTATGACTGAAGGCTTCACTATCAGGGACCATGGGAGGTTTAGTAATTCGGCACTGGTGGAGACGGAGAATGGTGCTTAAATAGAGACATGAACAGGTGAGAGGCATGAAGGTTGATTGCAGTGACCCAGCAGAGTGGGTGTGGTTAAGTGAGCAGGCAGAGGTGCAGGTTGACAGGAGATGAGAATAATAAACATGAACAGAAACTATGACCAGAAGGGCAGAAAACATGGCATGTCATGAAGGGGCAGGGAAGAGAGCAGATGGGGGGCCAGCGGGGGCCACTGATCGTGACACTGGATTCAGGATTTCTGGACAGAGCGTCCTCAGATGGTGATACTGGGTTGCTTGATAAGATAGAAAGGTGCTATATAAGTACAGTCCATTTACCATTTCCCCTCTCACAATTATTGCATTTTGGAGTGTCATCTCCTGAACTTGATAACTAGCTCTTTGGTCTTTCCTGTGTTTAGAGAGAAGTTGTTCACAGAGCACCAGATTCTGTACCTCTGCTCTTTTGGCTGACTCAACATTGGTGATCAGCCCAATAATGTTGTCTGAAACTTCACAATGGGGTTAGTGTGTGTACGGGGACACAGTCATGTGTGAAGTAGCAGTATAGGATGTGACTAAGTACACACCCCTGTTGTATGCCAGTTCTCAGTGTGATGGTTGAGGATGTGTATAGTATCAAGATACTCAAAGTACTTTACATTACAATTTGTGTCCTCATTTACCCATTCATACTGCACTCTAAAATATTCCTGTATATGAGATACAGACAGCAGCTGGAACTTGTTGCTGAGAATCATTTCCACATGGACGGGTTAATGTGAACATGCCGTCCCCGTCATGTCTCATTCACGTCCACGTCGTATTTTCAATTGTAAAAAAAATTTGTATGCACCCTTTATGATTGTATATTGTTGTTGTTGTCCACTGTTGTCATCACTCTTTGTTAAAATTCAGGTCTCTCTTGTAAATGAGTCCTCGTGGCTCAATGGGAATTACTTGTTTAAATAAAGGTTGAATGAATGAATAAATAACTCTACTACATCTATACAAAGAATAATCAGTGTTTTAGATCACATTCATACACCGATGGGACACACATCAGAGGCAATGAGGGGTTCAGTGTCTTGCCCATGGACACTTCGGAATGTGCCTGATGGTGGAATCGAACCCCCAACTCTCACAATGGAGGACGACTGCTCTAACCACTCAGCCACAGCTGTGCCCAGGGTGGAGAGGATGTCCAGCATCAGGTTCTTAGGACTACACATTTCTGAGGACCTGCCATCAGGCAGGTGGTACAAATCCCTCCACTGTCACAGACTGAAGAGCAGCTTCTTCCCCAGAGATGTGGCTGCTTTGAACCAACACTGACAAATAATTGCCACTTCTGCAAAAATATGTGCAGAAGTGGCCCCGCCCCCAAATGTATTGTATATGGTACCAATTTTACTCTGTTTTATCTTTGTATGTTAATTTATTGCAACTTTTGTCTTTACACCTTTATGTTTTTTTACCTAAGAAGCACCTTGAAGCTGCTAACCTTGTTTTGTTGCTTTACTACCATGACAATAAAGATGATTCTGTTCTTTTCTATTTTTATACTGGTAAGTGCAGCACCAAATTCAGTCCCCAGTGTTATGTCCCATGTCAGAAGTCTGTAGGTACCTTGGCCCATCTTGCCACCAGTCAGGGCTTCTTTGGCGCTGCCGAAGCCCAGCTCTCGACACACCACAGTGGCTGCTTTGATGTTCCAGTTGTCGTCACAAACAGTTCCCCACTCGCCGTTCTTCAGCACCTCCACTCGGCCCTCACCGATCATCGCTCCACCTCGAAGGCGCACCAGAGGTTGCTGCAGAAACCCACAAAGTGATGTAGACAGTTACCTTTTGACTGCTTTTTAGATCTGAGAGCACAAGTTAAAATATTTGATGCCTAAAAAAATTACTTTAAAAGTTTTCTTAAATTGGACAACGTGTGTATAAGACTTGTTTTTTTTTTCAAGAGCCAAAAGTCAATCCACAATCTCATTCTTTTAAAATTATTTGTAAATTAAATGAACACAAGTTTGAATTGGGTCGAGTTTTACTCATAATTCTAATATAAGCCATTTAGGTTATTTTTGAATGTGCTATTCGCATCGTTATTACCAAAAATGATCACAAGTCTGTGCATTGTTCTCCCGTACAGGAGGAATTTTTAACCAAATGCACATGCAAAGAAAACTTTTTTCTGTTTGTGAGAAAACTAAATATTGTTTTTAGAGCTTATTGTTTTTTTATGTTTGGGTTAGGTGGGGTTCACTTTTGTTATAAGTAGGAAGAATATCTGCTCTTTCAGACAAACTTCAGGATTTTTAGTTACGTTGCTTGTCAAAACAATAACACACTTCTCACAAAAAGTGTGAAAGCTCAGTTTTTCATCCAGGACTTTGTCTGAGAAGTGCCACAGCTAACCATAATGATCGGACCTACCTCCACCCTGTATGCTTTTCTGAAACCGGCGCTGACGCTCGGAGCAAAGGCCCGTCCTGGTACACAGCTGACCACAGTGGGCATGCCCTTCTTGCATGTGCTGTTGCCCTTCAGCTCTATCTGTCGGCCCAGTTTGCAGTCGGAGAGGTCGGCCTCGTTGCCTGAGCAGTTGACAGAGAAACCCCAGTAGTTCTTCTTACGACGCTTGGCCAACAGTCTGAGGAGAAATAAAAATAAAAAGTTTGAAAGCGCTGTATTGTGGTAACACTACAATTACATTACAAACACAAAAAGAATGACAGATATCTTAAGAACTCTCTTTAATATGCTACTAAAATATTAAAGCTGCTTTATAGGTTTTGGGAAACTTTCAAAGAGAGAAAAATTCAAGCATGCATATCCATCTGTTGCCGTGAGAAACGATACACGTGTTATTATGAGAATTCCTTAACTCTGACCTGACTTCACACGTGAATGAAACTACGGCTCAGATAAAATCCAACATCTGAAGACTTTGAGTCGTGGAAGAAGCCATTTGTGAGCTACAAATGGTAGAAACTTCTTTTAAAGCCTTTAGGTTTGGACAGGTGCGATGACCGTGCAGGTCCAAGTTGCTCTGAATACAAGATCGGTTTGTGAAAAATTCAAGAACTGCCAAGTTTACAGCAGACTGAGGCTCTTTATTTGTGCAAAAATATTTTTACTTTCCTCAAATAAAACGCAGACCGACTGAATGTTATCTTTCACCCCTACCAAACTGAACCCACACACCAGAACATGACTCAAAAACTGGAAAAGGTTGCACGCAGTTAAACAAAAGAGATCTATGTAGAATCTATGTACACCAATACACCACAGTACTATGACTCTGTACCTACCATCAATTGTCTCCTTTCTTTTGGCACTGAAACAGTTCTGAGGAGTCGGGGCACGGACATGTTCTGGGGATTCTGGTTCTGGAAGTTTAGCAATAAATCCTTTCAGACTTTGAAAATGTGGGGTGGGATCTCTAAGGACTGGACTATTTTCCTCAAATCCAAGACATCTGAGCAGTCTGAAGGATGAGCGACGCCTCAGACATTTGAGTGTTTCTCCTGAGTACATTCTGCACCACTGCTGTCCCGTTCATAAAACTAAATCTTCTCATATTATGAAAAATACCGCCAAAGGTCAAAACTACGAATGTGAACTTCCAGGTACAAACTTGGAAGTGTTAGAGTCACTTCTTTGATTGACAGCACTGGGTACCAAATCTGTTTAGATCTGTCTCAGGTGATGACTGAACTGTTTTTGTACTGAGAGGTTTTGTTGCACTGTAGCATCTGCTCCTATAATTGTTTGCTCGTGGGCGTTTGACTCCAGTTCCCGCGTCAGCAGACGGACACAGCAACACGTCAAACTGTTTCAGATTGTAGCGCACTCAGTCGTTTCCCGTTAAAACTTCCTCAGGCAGTATTTTTGGGCTCCTGTCAAGAACCTGCAGGGCCAGGACTGCTCAGTTTCAGAGTGGAAAATACATGAAGGGACGAGGAATGACCAGAGTAAACAAACTTGGTTGTGTAATGTTTCCTAACATCTGTTTGGTCTGGGACCTGCATTCCTGAACCGGCTCAAACCAAAAAAAAAAAAAAAAAAACACAATTAAAAGAGAGTGAGGAACTTTTCGTTAAGTGGAATCTTTTTACATAAAGAGCATTTGTGCCATAAAAGTCTGTGTGGTCTGTCTCGATTTATACTTTTATTAAAGGTGTGATGTTTAAAGCATTTATTATATAATGTGTTTATACTACAGAGCAGGGACTCATTGTAAATAACTGTAAAGTCTAACCCGTTTAAAGACCTTACTTATAATTAATTGACATCGTTTAAAATTCGCAGCCAGCGATTACTCACTTGTAGGGTCGGGCGTTGAAGTTTTTCTCATCGGGGAAGCCGTACATGCCGCAGACGACCCTGCTGTTCATTTGTGTCCAGCCCTCGCTGCAGATCTGCCTCCACTTGCCTCCATCTTTCACCTCCACGAAGCCCTCGGTGATGGGAACCCTTTTCCTGTTAGAGTATGTGGCTCTGATCCTCACGTCCTCCACCTGCACCGTCAGACCCTGACAATGAAAGCAGAGGCATCATTTCTGAACGCTTGCAGAAGAAAACTGATCTCAGATAAAACAATAAGTTTTATTTAAGATCATTCTTTCTTAAGATTTACACTTCCCCACTGATTAAAGTTCTTCTTTTGGATTAGGTCTGTTAATACGTTATCTTTATTTATGTGAAGTTGTCATGAGAACAACTTCCCGTTATGTCAACTTTAATCAAACAACTCTTGGATTGTTGTGTGGATGTGTTAAAAATCCTTTTGGTGGCGATGACATTTCTTAAAGGCTGCATCTGTAGTTTATTCTTTAGATGTTTAGATAACCAAAATATGGATTATCAATAAATCCCCAGAATGAAACTCAGTAATCTGACCTTCTCCTTTAGACATTTTTCCACTGAAGTCCCTCTCACTCTGATTTACTTACTGCGGAGCAAAACTTGCAGATCTACATAAATCAGTTTTTGTGGAATCCAGCTTTCCAGCAGGAACCTTCAGTTTCCTGAATAAACAGAGTTATGTAACCCGTAATGTGAACGCATTCACTAACAAATCGCCGTGTGTCTAAATAGGAACAAAATGTTTACAGGACACAGTCAGTTTCATTTACATGCTGTGTTCAAATGAAATCCTCCACCTGATTTATTATAAATACCACACAGACTGTGATCGTTACATGGAAATGTAAAACTTCTCCAAGAAGAAAGAAATATATTGTAAGACCCACAGTATGTGCATGTTCTTGAAGAAAAATTATGTTGACAAATGTGACAGTGAAGTTCTGCTTAAACTTGCTGCAAAGCCCGATCAGCAGCTGAAATAATGGATTTGTCAGATGTTTGTGGGCAAATATTACTACCATATATTTCTAAATCCAGCTAAAATATGTCTTCCAAATAAAACACGTCTGAAGGTGATACTTCATCTATAGCTAGTTACAAACAAGGACATTAATATCACATTTTCACGTTTCCATTATAAATCATAGAAATCTGTGGAGCAAAGAAAGAAGCATGCGTTTGAAGAAAAGCGTCACAAATCTCCCTCATTTATTTGATTTAAAGACGACTGAATTAGATTTTAGAAGATGACTGGAGAGACGGCATTTCCTGCACAAATGTAGTGTGCATGCTTATTGCTGAAGAACAACTGAAATTAACTAAAACAACATGCTGAATTGTAGCTGAAATGAAAGAACAAGCTTTAATTAGCAGAAACAAAACTGAAAGAACACATTATTTTGCTGAATTAGGTATAAATTAGCACAAATTAGCACAAAAATAAAATAGCTGAAAAGGCAGAAAGAAGCTTAAGCTTCCAGAAGGAAGCGGAAAGAGCTGAAAAGAGCTAAAAAAAATGGTGGAATTAGCTGAAAATAATAAAATTAGCATAAAAACATAAATAGTAGCTGAAAGAGCAGAAAAAGCTGAAAGCAGCCTAAGAAAGCTGAAAGGAGCATAACAAGCTGAAAGTACCATAAATAAGTTAATTAGGCTGAAAGTAGTAGAAATTATCATGCAAAATGTGGATTTAACTAAAAACAACTGAAGTTAGCTAAAAAAAAAAAAAAAAAAGCTAAAAAAAGTAGTTGAAGAGGTAGAACAAGCTTAAATTAGAAGAAGAAAGCAGAAAGAACACGTTTTCCCAATTATGCTGAAAGAAGCATAAATGAGCACAAAAAGTGGAAATTATCAGAAAAAAGGTTGAAATTATTATTTTTTTTAAAACAGCTGAATAGTAGCTAAAAATTCAGAAAGAAGCTATTTACCAGAAGTTACCAGAAGTTAACAGAAGTTAACAGAAGTTAACAGAAGGCAGTGGAGAGAGCACATTTTTGCTTTTTTAAAGTTTAAATGAGTGCAAAAAATGCGCAAGTAGCTGAAAAAGCTAAAATTAGCATAAAACAGCTAAATAGTAGCTGAAATAGCAGACAACGCTTAAACTTGCAGAAATCATTTGGAAGGAGTATAACAAGCTTAGATTAGCAGAAAGAAGTTAGAAGAAACACAAAAATGCTGCAGTTAGCAGAAATAATCTGAAAGGAGCACAAAACAGCTGAAAAAACAGCTGAAAGTAGCTGAAAAAAATGTTTAAATTTGCACAAGAAAGCTGAAAGGAGCTGAACCAGAACAAAATGTGAAAGGAGCAGTACAAGATTGTAAACAGATCTAAAGATTTGAAGGATGTAAAATGAGCTCAGTTCATTTTCTATGAGAGGAAAAAAAGCAGAAAAGGCTAAATATTTGAAAAAGCTAAAGTTGCACCAATGCCAAAAGTCATAGCAGGATTGTCCTGAAAGAGCTGAACGTTTTGATTTGTTGAAATAGCTTGAAAACTGCGGGACGAGAAGCGTACGAAAGAAAAATGGATCACAATAGTGTGAATGCTTCATGAACATTCACACAGAAAGATAACGTAAAGCAAATAAAGTACAATTTTTAAAAAGTGAGTATTTTTCAAGAAATTTTAAGGTGATTTTTTTTAATGGGTGATCCGTTGTCCATGTAAAGGTTAGGTTAAGCCATCTGCTCACAATGTGGCTAAACAAAGCTCACAAGCAGCATCTTGTGCTCTGACCACCCTAAATCAAGGAAAGGTTACCTTTGACCTCTGGCTAACAGCTAATAACCCTGCCATTGTTCTGCTCCCACTTTGAGCCAAAAGCTGCCGTTTGCTCTTGACTGGGTGTGAAGTTGTACCACAGGTGCCAAAAACAGCCCAAACTCTGACATGCTTTATGCTGATTTCAGTACTTTTGTAACAGACAGCCGAAAAAATGAAAAGTTCGGCACGTGTGCCAGAATATTAATCATTTGCCCACTGAGTGGTTTCCTGAAATGGCGTCAGCCTCAAGGAATGTTCAGGACTTCAGGGTCTCCGAGCGTTCGAGACCGCAGCGCAGGAGGAGTCTCCGGGGTTTTAGGAGTGACCCCAGCCCGCCTGCTGACCGCAGCAAAAACTCCTCTTTCATGAAGAGATTCTTGCAAGCTGAGCATGACGGTGTCTGGCAGGATGAGGAGGCAGGGGAACGTGCTCATGGTCACACAGCCGGTGTTCTCAATCGAATGTTCATTTCACTTTTCTTCTTTTTGTCTGGGAGGCTTGAACTTAAACGAGAGATGTAGAAATTATTTTAGAATAAAAGCCCAAAGATATTTAGAATATATAAGTGAAGGAAATGAAAGTTACACAATGAAAGGGTTCAAAGCAGTGCAGTGGACAGGTGTGGGGCTGGTGTAAATGGGGCACAGAGATGGTCTGAGCTGTGTTTAGTTTGGCTCAGAGTGAGGAAACTGTCTGGTGAGTGAGACAGAGGAGACGGGTCCGCAGAGCTGGGGTCAGTCCAGCAGCCTCCCAACCTCTGACCACGAACACAGACTCATCATTATACAGTGTGGCTGCGGCGCCGCCGGACAACCTGCACAACGTTTAGCTCAGCTGAGCTGCAGAGACAGACAAAGAGACACGTAGTACCGTGCAAAAGTTTTAAACAACCCTAAAAAATCTATCTTCTTGCCTCTACAGTCCACGACAAAATATCGCACAGTGACGTTTTAAAGAAAGTTATACCTCTAGGAAAACTAAAAGAAAAATGTTAGTTGTAAAAATATATATATATACTTTGTCTCAAGCTGTATTGTCTGTGGTTAGCTCAGGGGTCTGCAACCTTTATGATCAAAAAAGCCATTTTTACACCTTCATTCACTAAATTAAACGCAACAACCGGTGATTGTTTGATTCTTGTGATTTCGTTTGTTGGCCGAGACTTTTGTGGCCAGTAGGGGTGACATTATAAAGCTCAAAACATCTAATGATTTTTAACATTCATTGATATTTGTACAATTTAAGACTAATGAATAGACCAGATTCTTATGTGTGTGTGGGGGGGGGGGGGGGGTATAAAAAAAAATAACAGTCCTAAGTGATTTTTTTTTTAATTGTGGAAGAAATAATTAAGCAAACAGTTAAAGTGAGTATTTGCAAAAGAAAGGAAAACAGTTAAAACTAGTACTTTTGTTGTTGTTTGTACAACAACCAGTAAAATTCAGTGTTGGTTCTGGTCAAAGCTTGAGCTGCTGCAGAGGAGCCAAAGAGCCGCGCGTGGCTCCAGAGCCGCAGGTTGCAGACCCCTGGGCTAGCTGATAAAGCAAAAACAATTATTTTAGGGTGACAGAAAGAGCCTAAAGATCCCGTTTTGTTTCTTTTTTTTTTGCACAGACGTCTATTTTGTTCATCCCTTGAGTTAAGGAGCTTTTTCATGCGGCTTCGGTTTAGACAGCACCACGGCTCAGTGGTTAGCACTGCTGCCTCACAACAAGAAGGTCCTGCGTTCAATCCCCGGTTGGACCTGGGGTCTTTCTGTGTGGTTTGCATGTTCTTCTCGTGCTTGTGTGGGTTTTCTCCAGGTACTCCAGTTTCCTCCCACACACCAAAAACATGCGTGGCTGCCTTCAGGCCCAGGCCTCCCTTGCAAAAGAGATCTGTGATCTCAGTGGGATTTGCTTGGTTAAATAAAGGTTAATAATAAATAAATAAACGATAAGATGAAAATGGTTGACGCGCTCTCATCTGGATGAAGATGCTGCTTCTGCAGCCAGTCTCTGGCAGTGAATTATTAAAAAATAGTGAGAAAAGTTATATTTGAACGTTGAGATGTTTTTAGTTGTGCTGTTTCAGTCTCATTCTTCTTGTTCAAATCTCAACAAGCACATGAGGTCAAGCTGAGGTCAGTCCTCTAAAGAACATTTCTAAGAGGTTACCTCATCTTACTGTAGTGTACTGACTGTGAGACTGTATCCTTTAGGCTGCTGAATTTCACTTCCTAAAATAATACTCCTGTCGGTGAGCGAGAGGAAAAAAAGAAGAGCGAACTTTACAGCGCTTCTCTCTGAAGTGGGCTTTGGTAATTACTGAACTTTTTCCAAATGAAAGGCTGGCTTTACTTCCCTGATGGAGGCCTTTAACGCTCAGAGCATAGCTGCGAGAACATGAGGCTGCGGTCTAGCC